AAACTGATGAGCATTGATCGGAGCGAAATTCGTGTTTCGATTCTTCTCGTCGTCAATGTGATAGGGGCGTAAATGAAACGCCCGCAGCTCCGCACGGACCTTGTTAAAATGAAACCTATTTCATTTGTTCCGCTGTACTCTTTTGCCTTTTACGGAAGAAGTATAATTAATGGAAAATTTAATTTTTATAAAACGATTGAAGTCGGCTAAAAAGATTATTGGGATATAATCACAGCTCCGATGCGATAAGTGATTTGTATTATCTTTAAATTAATAACAAACAGAAAATAATATTAAAGCGTTTCGTTTCACATCATTGTTTAATCTTTTATTTATAAATTATCATGGCCAATTTTGCATCAATTACTTGCAAACAAAATAACGTTAAGTACGCAAATAGTAATAAAATATAAATACCACGAAATACTCCTCAGGTATCCGTATATTGCATAAAATCCTAAAATATTCGTAAGCATACGAACGTGTAGCTAAGAAATTCTGAGACGAGTTTAATATACTACAAAACCGCAGCTTTGAGAACTTGTATTTTTTTCTCTTGCCCTGTATCGTTGCGTTTGAACGAGTCGGTTAAAGATTCAAAAGCTCAAACGAGCGAGAATCTCTAGTGGTTTGAAAAAGCTCGGTCAGCGGAAAAGTTTTTAGAATAATTAACTTTTAAAGAAAATAAAATCTAGGTTACTGTTACTAGTTAATAGTTAACAATAACATAATGCATCTGTAAATCAATATGTTTAAAATAATCGTATAATAAAAAAAATTAAGAATTGATTATTATAAAAACGTTATATAAGTCAATAACACCAACATGACTTCTTCAACATACATTAAAATATCTTATTGAAAAAACTAGAAATATACTTATAAAAAAAACCAAACGATACGGACTAACAAACAAAACCATAGAGACATAAATGTTCTGAATCAACCTCTAACAAACTCAACGACAATGACTTTGGCACTTAATTTTTTTAATTTAAAAATTATGAAAAATAATTTGGCAATATTTCTTCGTGATTTGAATTTCAGCAAAACCTATCTGCATTGTACAATACCGCAATGCAGCCTAGTTGTATTCGTCACTGCGCATATTAAAATATCATTGATAACATATTTTTTTTTAAATACGACTTATAAAAATCTAACCTAACTTTTCCCATTCCGATCAACGCCACCCTATTTTTCTCTATCATCCGTACTCTCGTCTTAAATACTTCATCCCTTTATTACAAAAAGACGAAGGACCAATGTAGATTTGCTTTAACAAGAAAACATAGACAGTGTTTCAATTCCGTTTTAGCTTAAACATATGTCAACCCTTTTATCGCACGCTCAAATTAAACATTACCAAAATTATTGAAAATGTTTAGACGTAGGCTTCCTATATGTAATCTTGGCAAATAAATAACAAAATACATATGCCTAAAGCTTTTGTTATCCATGTCGATATCCATAATAAATCAATATTTGTTTAAACTCGTGTTCACCAAAACACGGACCTAACTCTATTTTTTGCGTAATACAGTAGATGTTTAACTAACTCTACTAATTTATTGAAAAGATTATTGTGCCTATTCACACAATAACCAACCCTAGGGTTGACACAAAGGGCCGCGGACGAGAGCGAAAGCGTGCCCATGGTCCCATCCCGATGCGTTGGAGGAAGAGAGGTTTAGTGTGTATGCCTCCGCTATGGAGGAGAATCCCACATAACTACCGCGTCCCCCCGGGGCGCGGAGTATGCATAAAGCATTCCTCTCTGGAAAAAAAACAACCATATATTAAGGGTTGGCACAAACACTGCGTCTTGATCACCATAGTACAACAAAACTGTAAAACAGTTATATCCAAAATTGTAGTGTGGCCACACACTGATGGATGATTTGAATGATAGCTAAACAACACATCATTAAAAGCAAGAAAAGGACGTCTGTCTTAAGCATACAAAACGTTTAATATTAATGTAATATTTTTACAAAGATGAAAAGATCAGGAGCGCTTCCATATTGAAACGGGATCTTGGAACTCCGCTGTCGCAAACTCGACGCTTGTAACAGGAATTTAATTAAAATTTTCACGAGAAAACGCCTCATAAAGATTGTCGTGATAAAAAAAATGGCAAGAATAGCTGCCGGTGGCTATTTTTAACTTTCTAATTTTAATTTTAAAGTTTTCATCATAATGAGCCAAGAGTATTTTTGTAAAAAAATTATCCAAATAAAGAAATTTTATAAAGTTCTAGATGTCTGTACTTTCTGGTACCATTAATATTAGTTTAACTCACAGTAAAAAGTATCAATCATAACCCACACTTTGGGAGTAAAGAACAAATCAAACTAGCGCGTATTAAATTCCCTACCATTCTCCTACGGTTACGGTATATTTATTAAATATCTGCAAAACGTAACGTAAGTAGCTTACAAATGCAGAGACTTGTATGCAGTTATAAATTTTATATTTATAATTTTTTTACCTTAGAAGCCATGATAAAAATGTCGACCAATATGCTACTGCAAAATTTACAAAAAAATGAAAATCACCATAGAATAAAAATATCTCTAATTTATTTTACTTTGTCGTAAGGACACGGTATTTACTATAGCTTGTACGCATGCTCAACCAAGTGACTACTCCTTTCGCCCACTTTATCTCACATAATTTTGGTTAATTTAATTTAAAATGTTATATTACCGTAGACTAGTCGATTTTACAAACAATTAACGGTAAAGCTCCAAAAAATCGATAATCTATACTCATCAAAAACAATCATGGCAACACTGGCCAAATTAACGGGGGCTATTAGAGGCTATTGAGATTTTAATTTGGCTGGGATGTGAGGTGGGTGCTTGGGTGCAATGCGGTATCGTACAATGCAGTTGGGCTTTGACGAAATGCGATGCATCGATGCCGTCCGCGAGCCTTTGATGTATAAAGCTGTGTTGTTTGAATGAGCTTTCGCCGGGCCATTGTGGATGTTTGTAGTGATTTAACGTTCGCAAATCGTTTGATTCACGTCCGCAGTTGAAAGCGTTCTTGATCGTTTAAACATTGACATTATTTAGCATCACATATGTGTTTTTCCGTAAAAATACTTAAAGAATAAAACTTTTTATGTAACGGTTATTTATTTGCTAAGAAAAATCACATAATTAGATTAGTATTACGGCTCCTAATCAAATCTGATATGAAACACTAGTTTATTTTAAATTTCAAATCTTTTGGCTTTCAAATGATTTCACTTTACCGTTAATAAGGTAACACAAAAGCAGAATATATCCGGATTGCATATATTTAGTACGAGACATTCGTACACGCACGTTGTATATGTTTGAAGCAATACCCTCGGTCCATAGGACAAATGCAACCCAGTTTATTCTCATTGCGGAAACTCGGTGAGCCACAGAGCGCGTCACTGCTTACCAATGCAAATCATTACTACAGTCCCTTAATGGATTGCCACTATACAGGTTTAATGTTCCTAATTCACATCAGTATATATTTATATAACGTCTGTACATTTTTTGATGATTTTAACCAGAACAACGATAGAACTGGCAACTTATATTTTCGCGTTTCGTTATATCCGGTTCCACAGAACTCTTTTTTTATCTTTAATTTGGGGTTATTTTTCAACATGTTCGTTATCAGAAATGTATTTTTCATCCTCATGCACATTTAAGGCCTTTTATTTTCGACGAGCGAATAGCTGAAGATTTCATATGTGTGTGTAGAAATACTTAGAGAAATAGTTAACATAAAAATGTATTCACAATTCCAAAACCTAGTCAATATAAAGATAACATACTATAGATACTTTGTAGCAATAAAATATGCCCCATTTTATCTTCAACATCTTTATTGAATAATTATTCGCGGGAATTTTAATTAAATTCCTTTTCGCGACGACATCAAGTTTGCGACAATCGAGTTTTAAGGAGCGATTTAAATAGACATGAATTAATGTTTCAATTCAAAACTTTTGCAGTAAGAATTCTTGAAATTAAGGCACCTACATAGATTCAGATATGGACAGATGATAGTGAAGTTCTGTTGGCCAATGCCTCAATTAAATTTATTTATATTTTTGTATATTTTTCATTAGAGTTTCCTAGAGTAGTAAGTTTTATTAGAATTTAGTAAACTAAAGATAAATTCATTAAAAAATGTATTTAATAATAATTTAGTTATAAAACTGAAACTTAAATAACTTGTCTTGTTTCAGCTTTGCGGTAAATTTAAGTTGATAAATGCTTTCGATAATGATAAATGCTAATACAAAATGTGTCCAAGTGTTATCCTAATGAATAACGTAGAGACGCGCGATTGACACAAAGCCCTTCACCGCAGGCCAGTAATCTTTGGACACTACTGTTGGTTAGTAAAAATAGATTCATGAGACAATGGACTTCTTAGAAGAAAAATAACTGCTTACAAAATGTAAAAAAGCACGACATTGTAGACAATTGATGTCAGCTAAGTAGGTCAGTAACATTTTACTGAGTAAACTACTAGAATTGACCTATTGTAAGTGTGCTGCATCGTCAAGGCTATTGAGTAAACAAACTGATGTACATCGTTTTCTGTGTATTTATGTTCAATAATTTATGCAATGATCGCAAACGATAAGGCACTACACAATATGAAACATACAAGCAATTTTGGTGATGATATAATTCAGTGCAGTAATTAGTAATGATCATTTCTTGATTCCTTTGGTACCAGGCTGATAAAAAAACAAAGTTGAAAAAATTCTTTAAGGTGAGAAAGATTCTTTATAAAAACTCCAGGACATCTTCTTAATGCCCACCCCACTTTAAATAAGAAGGGCGGGTGAAACTGCAATACCAAAAAAGGCCATTTACATGAGTTTAATGCTTGTTATTCAGTTAAAAAATACTTTATTGCGACTTTTATTCAAAAGAATTTAAAGTAAATTATTTTTGCTTTCAGATTTTAGAAGTAGCAACATTCATTTTGTCTTTGTCACAAAACAAACGTCATCGAGTCTTTGAAGTTGTCATTTCTTCTAGTTTTCAAGGAAAGTACTGAATATCGACATTAAGAAACAAAGTATTTCAAACTTAAAACGAATCAAATCTAATCATGGCCAACATACCATTAATGTACGCTCAAGAAGATTGTGAACTCGGAGGAAAGGAATCGATAGAGGTAAGAAATTTATGAAATCCATGCAATTCGTCAGCTGACCTTAGCTTTGACAATAATACAATTCTGTTTACTACAATTAATTATCATAATGTATTCATAACACCATTTCCATACCGTAGAAAGTATTTTTAATTTGATTCTTTTTCCAAAGTGATTAATCGTGTTTGTTTACTTTCTCTTGTAAAACATGTCTATGTGCCATTTTGTACACTTTTGTAAAATTAAAAACGCTGCCATTGTGTGACAGCAGAATACTCAATACTAATATGTTGAAATCATAACTTTTCCACAATATCCAGACTTTAATTGACACACTTGATGATCCTTGATATGATATTCAGAAATTCTTAAAGTTTAAATCCAAAGTCTTGCATAAAACAGGCATAATTTTATAAGTTTTGTACCCAGGACGATTTCGCGTATCGCAACAATGTGATGAATGCTGACAAGGAGATCCGTTTAGGATTTGTACGCAAGGTGTACGGTCTTCTCACAGTTCAGCTGCTGGCTACTGTGGCTATTGCAGCAGTCTTCTTGCTTGTCAAACCAGTACAACTGTTCATTCACCAAAAGTATGTATCATAATAATATTATGTATGTGAATATTTGGATGGATGGATGAATGTTTGAAGGTTTTTCTGACACGGCTCAACATATCTCTCTGAAATTTGGCATAGATGTAGAACATAGTCTGTAAGAACACATAGGCTACTTATTAAGTTTTTTTTTAATTCCGCACAGATGGAGTAGCGGGCGACAGCTAGTTTTGTCATAAACACATAGATATACAATTATGTTCAGATGTAGTAATGAAAACATTAACATTTCTTAAATTTTAAAATCAAAATGACTCAAATACACATAAATAAGTTTCAATAATTAGAAATATTACACAACACAAACACTTTTTTCACATTAGATTTATAGAGGTCAATGTAGAATACTTTTGGTATAGAACAATATACAATTGGTTAAGTGTATGGACTGCATAACTCAATATTGTTGGTTTGAATCTGAATTTTAAAACTTAACTTGGAATGGTTAGAAATGAACCTTAACAGTAATAGTTATCAATCAAAAATGTATGTTATATTTTACTTAATGAGTGAAGATAATAATTGTTGATTACATTTCTTCTTTTCAAAGCATGTTTTGTCATGGCTAATGTAGATAACAGTACAAAGAAATAGATAACAAAGTATTTATTTATCTGATTTTATCAGGGATTTATCTTTGATGTAAATACTAAGCTACTACTTCTAATTAAAGTGTTATGCATAGAAAAAAAAATTACTGACTTTAGCTCGAGAAATTAAAAAGATGAGTGAATTCTATATGTGTGCCAAATTTTAGCAAGATGTGTTAAACAATTGTAGAGTTGACAAGTAAAAAAGTAATTCAAACAAGAAATATTTAACCAAATGAGTTGAATTATTTATGGTACTTTTTAAAATAAGGTTAAAACTTGGAAATAGTTTTTAATTCACTTAAAATAAAGAATTGATTGACTTATCTAAAATACTTCTTGGTAAACTTGCTTAATTGTATAGACAAACTCAACTTAGTCTTATAAGTTTATTGACAAAGAAATGATTAAATTGGATCTCATATTGGTTAGTTGTTGATTTATTTCTTGCATTTTCAGTGATTGGATGGTATTCATTGCCTTCATCTTGAGTATAGTCACATTGTTTGCACTAATCGCCAAACGCCGGGATTCTCCTGCCAACTTTTACCTCCTTGCTGCATTTGTGAGTATATTACATGGACAATAAATCTAATAGTACAATGTTCAGGCTAAGCGCCATCTGCTCTCCGCCACCTCAAACCCGGTGAAGTTGTAAATGCCTCTTCAAGGCAAACAGTGACTACTCAGTAACAAAAAAAAATCTAATAGTACACATACTTACATCATTATCAATCCTTCAATAACATGAAGAAAGATAAAAACTATCAAATGAAGATGTTTGTGTTAATATATGGATGTAAAAACATGAGATGTATACTTCTTCTGTCTGTAGAAAATATCAATACTACCTCAATATACCTACTATCAATATACCTTTTGGATGTACCTCTGGGATACATCACTATTAAACTATGCGATGAAAAAAGTTAGATAGCCAATTGAATCCTCTTGTCACTCAATGTTGTTAATAATTCCATGGAATATTTTCAGACTGCCGTCCAAGCATATACTGTGGGTGTGGTGGTATCGTTTTACGATACATTCATAGTGCTACAGGCGCTTGCTATCACCTTTGCAGTTGTCTTGTCACTCACCCTCTACACGCTCAACACTAAACGTGACTTCTCTTTCATTGGATATGGGTGAGTATTGCTTTTAAGAATAAAACATGCAATATTTATGAAAATAGCTTTCATTTTAGTTTGTAGCATATTTCTCTTCATTGGTAGGCAAACAACTCAACCGTGAGAATCACTTTGAATCAAAATTGCTGGATTTCATTGTTTTAATAAATATTTTTAGACTGGTGGCTGGACTCAGTGTGCTGATTGTTGGCGGTCTGATTCAAATCTTCCTGCAGAGCTCCGCCTTCGAAGTTGCGCTGTCTTTCGCCGGAGCAATCTTTTTCAGTCTCTTCCTCATCTTTGACACCCAGCAGATGATGACCACATTGTCTCCGGAAGAGTACATCCTTGCTACCATCAATCTGTATATGGACATTATCAATCTGTTCCTATACATTCTTCGTATCTTAAACGAAATGAATAGGAACTAGATTGTACCTTTTTTCTTCATATTTTTTGGGACACATGTTCTTCAAGAGTTTTAAGTTTATTGATGTTAAATTGTAATAGAATTTTTTAATGTTTTCAGTTTTCTTGTAGAGTTCAATCCGAATTAAATATTTTTGTTGTTTTCAATGAATTAACATTCCTATATTGATTAGAAATTATATGTTTTTGGGTAACTCAAAATTATATGTGCGTTATTGCAATGTTTATATGTACATATGCCTATTTATTTATTTTCCTTTATCCTAATTGTATAATAAAGACTTATTTGTTAAGCATATGTGATTTTATTACGCACTTAATCAGCACAGTATTATTTTTATTTGACAATTCTAAGTTTGGCGGCAGATTTATCTATGTGACTATCTGTTAATTTTAAATCCTTTGACGGCCATAAATAAATATTAACTGATGTTTGACAACGGCATTGTTGTTGTATTGAAATTAAATTATATATTTGTTTGGAATAATGTGATTTTATTTTCCCAATCACTATAGACAAGACTTTCTTTATTTCACTATGAAATGAAACAATATCTTTTGTGTTGAGATTTAATTTATACTAATTTATTACATACAAAAACATGCACAAAATAACATACATAAAATGTTGCAATTTATAAAATATAGGAAAAAAAAGTCATTGCTACATTTTTATACATAATACCGCGTTTCGTAACAATTTAAACTGATATAAACCAATGAACAAGGTTAAACACTGTTTTATTGAAAAAATATTTGCAAAGGTTTCATTTCTAGAATTTTTTCATCAGATAAAATAGTTTACACTGTGACAACAATCTAAATTTAAAACACTAGCATTGATATACAGGTTATATTATCATCAGCTCACTATATGTCACCACTGAGGGGCTAGGAGTCTATCCAAGTTAGGTAACTAGGCCATAGTCAACCACGCAGACCTAGTGCGGGTTGACTTCTCACATACCTTTAAATTTCTTCACAGGTATGTGCAGGTTATATCATGTTGTCACTGTAAGGTTTCTATATGTGAAGGGTAAACTCTCCACACCCCAGAAATCAATATTTTGTTCTAAGCTACCGCATACCATCTTTCGATCACATCACATAACATCAGGTGGGATAAAGGTCAAGTCTTAGTTTAACTTAACTTCCACTACACATAAGTCCATAACTCACGTATATTATGTATATATACGTAATTCAAAGAAAACTAACTGCTATCACTACCAAAAACACTTCTTAAAGTGTCCTCCATTTGCACATCACCATTTTCATTCACTTCACTACATTGTTCACTCTTTGTATGATAAATCTCTTCGTGTATCGTCAGATAATATTTATCACTGAACTCTTCGTCACATGATTCACATTTAAAAGTCACATTTTCTGGTTTTGTTTTCGGTTGACTGATGGAAAACGTGTCACGAATTATTGGTCTGGAATAGAAAACATTTACGTTTAAGTTTTGTGTCATTGGCTAGACATACTATTGTTCCTGCTGCTTGTTTTATATAAAAAAACAAATTTGTTACACTTGCTCTAGCAAGGAGTCCCATCACAACTTAAACGCAAGTATAGTAATAATAGCCGTGGCCCACGACTCCATGCACCCGGAATTAAAAAAAAAACATAAGAAGTAGCCTATGTATTCAAACTTTCATGAAACATGATGATAAACTTATGTAAAAAAGCTAAAACTCACAAATGTTCATCCAGTAGTGGCACTGACTAGGGCCCCGATGGGCTAGAAGTTAGTTGGTGCCGCCATAGGACGAACATACGTCAGTGTTTTAGCCGTTTTTATTAAGTTTAAGTAGGCAATGTGTTCTTCCAGATTATATTTTTAAATTATATTTTTGTCAAATTTTATCAAAATCAGTTAAGCCATTACAAAGATACTTTCTAACAAACATCCATCCAACATTTATATTAGTAAGAGATATATATATAAATAACTAGCTGTCGCCCGCGACTGCGTCCGCGCGGGATTAAAAATAGATGTTCGTCTGATGTCTCAGACCTACTCAATATGCTCACAAAATTTCATGAGACTCGGTCAAGCCGTTTCGGAGGAGTATGGCAACGAAAATTGACACGAGAATTTTATATATAAGATATTACATTCAATATTGCTTGCTTGTGTTATCGTAATTTTACTTCCCTATTATAAAGACATGTTAATCTAAGGTATAAAACACGTAAAAGTTTTAAAGCCTTTACAAGATCATGTAATTATTATTTTTACCTTTTAACATCCTCCAAAGTCTTGGGCTTCTGTGGCTCCTTATTCGCGATTGCTTTGCACTTCCGACTATGTTTAGTGAGCTGTTCAAATGAATCAAACTTTGCTGAACATGCATAACAAACACTCTTGTTATGACAAGTCTCATGAACCATCAGATCTGTTGATGTCATAAATCCTGCAATAAAAAATAAAAAAATCATCTATATCCATAATCCAGCTGTTCTGGAGATACTTTAAAACATCCATCCATCCATCTATACATTCACATTTATATTAGTAAGATTAAGGCTATTTGTATTATTTGTACTCACTCCTTTGACATGTACCACAAACAAATTCCTGTTTCCTTTTCCTCTTCTCCGGTGAACAACTTCCAGACTTTCTTTTCACTGATTTATAAGAATGTTGAGCGATCACATGAGCCTAGAAATACCAGAACATTAATTAGTTGTTGTTAATGTTTTTTTTTTGTAATTCTATTTTCATTTCAATTTGAAATTATTCAAGAATTTTAGAACAGATTGAGGCATCTCTTATTTCAAACAAAAAACATTTAGATATAAGATAAGGTGTGGAGATATGAATTGATCCCTACCTTCAAGCCGGTGACACTGTTCAGTTCTTTGCAGCACAACATACACACCAGAGGAAGATCTGTTGGTATAACATCTACATCATCTATATCACTAAGTGGTTCCTCCTTTATTTCTAGAAGCTGAAAATTGTATACAATATATCTAAGACTAAGATTATAATTGGTATTTTTATTTTATTTTTATGCATAAACATACTTACATCGTCTTTACCATCATTACCATTTGTTAATGGAATCTCCTCATTTAAGTCATGAAAAACATGTCCTGAAACAAATATATTTTATATCAATTACTCTATAATTATATCAATATTATTACATTATGGGACATATGACCAATTTTTTTAGTTTTTTTTAAGATTGCATTCATACTTAAATTACTACTGAATAATATATTATGACAAAGAACAACTAACGACTATGTCACACAAAACCTGAGCCACTAACCCCCCCCCCCCTAAAATGGTCACAAAGTATGGGTATGTTCCCTTACAAGGCACTATGAGGAATATACCATTATAACAAATTTAAATTAGAAATTTCAGTATGTTATAAGGTGCTCACCATTTAACTCCAGATAAGGTGAATGTGTCTCATCAATTTGTTCGTGTTCCTGAGGTTGCAATAACATAGGTTGCATCAACTCTTCGGGTTCAATTTTAATATCTAAACTAGCCATTTCTTCTCTAGGATAATCCATTTCATTATATTCATCTTCCGACATCACTTCTTGCTTAATATCGACATCCCCGTAATTATCATATGTCCCATTGATATTTTTATCTATTTGAATAGGTTTAGGCCATATTGTCTTGATATTATTACAATTGTCATTATTTTCAGGTGATTGTGGATATCTCTGACGCAGTAATCTATCATTTTTTCGTACAATATAAGCAAAATCACATGCACTCTGTAGTTTTAGACAACAAGGCTCACATATCACTTTTGAATATTTATCTGTTTGTGTTATCTGAAAATCAAATTAAAAACAATATTTGAAAACATAATGTTACTAAGATTAGGAAGGAATAGTTATAATTTATTTTATGCAATTTATTTCATTTTGTTTATTAAATACCACAATTTTTATAAATATAAACATTTGGAGGTTATCTAAAACATACGCACTATTATTGGAGTTACTGTATTTGAACCAACTCTTCGTTTGGTTCTTTTGTTTAAGAAAGTAAATGATTACATCAACATATATATACTTTATCTAGTAAAGTCTTAGTTCATGTTTCTCAAATAGGCAACTTAAAATACCTGAACATTTGCGAGTTTTGCTAAATCCTCAGCTATAGTAGACTCCATGCCATCCCAAGGTGGTATCCAGCATTGAAATAAATCGACCAAAACTGAATTATTATCAATCGCCTGGAGACATGTCCGGCATTCCGCCAATCCACATTCCGTAGGAACGACAACTTCCTCTTGATCTTTACTCATGTTCCTTGACCTAAGCCACAAAATCGTGAAGATTTAGTTTTATTATAAATATTATTTAGTATCATAACTTAAAAAATCACAAAGACTAGGAAATATAAAATCGAATAATCCAATCGAAAGTAATGTCATGAAGGGAAACAATATTGACGTTTAAAAAATGATGACAAACTAGATTAAACAAAAAGTTACAAGTTTTATTTCAACAAAAATTTGTGTAAATTTTTGTCCAAATATTTAAACACAATGATCTTCTTGCATCTATTAAATGCTGAATGCTTTTATTTTTAGAAATAAGAACACTATCTGTACACACCAAAGTTATTTTGTAATAGTTAATCGACAATCTTATTTCACCTGTCAGAACGTTACTATAGGGTAGGGCCAAATTGGGGAACAAAATTTAACCTCAATAAAATGTTTTTTTTTGCAAATTACAATTAAATATTTCATATGAAAAACACCTAATAAATTTTTAATAACTTGAATTTTCCATGAGCGTTTTTCCTTTATCACGCAGTGAATTGGCTGTGACGGTGATACACTTGTCTATGGTTCTTGGACTTTTTATCATTACACTTAAAATTTTATATTCACATATGCTTTATTAAAAAAAAATGTTAAATTGCTAATTTGGGAGGAATATTTTAATAAACTTTCCCTTCGTAATAAAAGTAAACTATGTTTGTGGCAAATCACACAACGATTTAAACATCACAGATAAAATAACACTCTTCAGGAAACCAAAAAAAAATAGGTAATGTCGAAATGTCAAAACGAATAAAAACTAAGATTCTTATAGCTTGGATTCTTACATTGATTATTTGGACTGTAGAGAAAGTTTGGTATGGATACCCTCAACTTTAAACTTTTTTACTTTGTAACGTAAATGACAATCACCACGCAAAGTATCTTTGCATATGTAATCCAATGTACTACGAAATAGTGATGGGCGGTTGTCTTATCGTCAACGGAATGTAAGGTGTAATATTTGCTTTCATCAACTCATTGATCAACTATTTATAACTAGTTGAAAGTTTATAATGAAGCAATTCCCAATCAGAGACTGCTCCATAAACTGAACAATGAATTCAATTAGTTTTAGTGAGTTCATTGTGTTTTGTGAAATTGATTTGGATCTTTACAAACATGTAAGAAATTCACACGAAGTAAAATACTATAGAAAATAAGTGAATTAACGCAATATAGTATTTCTTCTATACCTTTTCGGGTTCTTGTTTTCCAAAGTTTCTTTTTCTTCTAAAGTACACTCTTCTTTTATTACTGAGGACTTCTCTTGCAACTTTTTTACACATTCTTTTAAAGTAATAACTCTGGCTTTTAAATATCGGTTGTTATCTCGAAGTTTCTTAATGATTTTGTTTTTTTTATTCAAATCACTTTTAATCTTCTTACTCGTAGAAATTTCTACCTAAAAATACTACGGAATTAAGTAAACCAAATTAATGTTTAAATAGTGACGAAATAAAAAGAGTTTTTCGCACATTTTTGGAAGGCGCCTTTTTAGACGTTTGCTGTTGGGGTTTTAATATCTCCTCATTTTTATAATGTTGTTCTTGTTTTGTTTTCTGAAATAGAAATAATAAAGGATGAAAACATCCTCGCTATAGTCGTATAATCTTTTGCAACTAATAAGCGATTGCACAATTTACCGAGCAGTAACAGGTGCGAAGAGTAGGTATTGCCCCTTTGTTCAATATTCGCTTGATGTTTGAATATATTTTGAAACTGGATTGCGTAAAATGATCCGAGCAAATGGCACTTGTTTGTGTAGGGTTCCATTTATTACTTCTGTTACAAAATTTTCTCCATTCTTGTCTTACTGTAGGATCTCTAGGAAACCTTGAACCAAAGTTACATTACATACTTTAATATTTGGATGTTATTTTCGGTTACAAGTATTTAATACTTTTAACAGTATTAAAGGTTGACGTCATTATAATATTAGAAGATATCTCTTGCTTATTTTACACAATTTACAACGTATTTTGCATATGTCTGCTATAACCTCCGTCTTAATGGTACGGTGCGGTGCCAGGGTCAAATTAAAAATAAATAATGTCTGGTTCACTTTCATTAAAGATATTGGTTTCGGGTTCAAATTTTTTCAAATAAATAAGAACCACTTGTTTTATCATTTTTAAAATTAACCGTAAATTAACGATGAACATCACTATGACACCAGCAAGTATTTCTAGTTGTTTTCTGACGTAGAATGAGATAAACGGTTGAATAAGGATAAAACCACTTGTTTTCAAACTACAGTACTAACTTGTGATATGAGACATTATGATTGCGTAAATTTGAAGTTTTAGATCTTCTTTTGCACAAGTAAACTGCACAATTCACCATGTTTAACACTAAAACGAACCAAAAGAATTTTAGAAGACTAACGTCAAATGAAGAACTTTCGTATCACTCGTATGGTCAATTTGGCCCACAGACTAATAGTGAGGAGACTCGATTGTGTTGATTCGATAATTTTTTGATAAGTTTAGTACAAAAAAAAGTCCTTCAGTTTTACATGATCTTAACAAATTTTTTTATAAAAATAATCTGAGACTAACATGTAAAAAAGAATTTTATTATTTTTATCAAATATTGTTATTTTGTATCATACTCTTGTTTTAATCCTCTAAAATGCAAATTATTTTTTATGTATTTTTAAACCTTTATCTTTTTAATCTTTTAAAAAAAATCCATCGTTTTATTTATCTTTTTATTATCGGGATGTTATTGACTGTAGTCTTTGGCATTTGGAAACAAAGAGTATATAAAATAATGTTTGGAAAGGTCAAAAATATAATAAACAAAGATCTGTCAAAATTGTCAAATACTGGTGATCAAAAGCACGTTTTTACTTTGCCTCGTGCTAATATATCAATAAAATATGGAAGAAAATACACCAACTGTTAGCTTAGTATCATGTATGCATTTTGTGCAAAGAGGAGTTGCCAAATCTGTGCCTGAAAAAGTATAATTATTTATTTATAATAACAATATTTCATAAATTATAAATTTATACAAAATACATCATTTTTAATTGTAAGGAATATTTCTAATTTTATCCTGTTATTCCAGATAGAATTAACAGAAAAAGAATTGGAAAAAATAATTAAACAAACGGCTGATGATTTGAGGTATTTATATAACTACTGTCTTAAATTTTGTTAATTTTAAATATAAAATTAAATATTTTGATCATGATATACCCTAACATTATGTATGTACCAACCAGTTTAGAGTATATGATGGGCTCTTTTTTAGGATGAGCCGTTTATGTTTAGTTCTGTTTCACAAAGTTTAAATAATTTAATGGACTAAAATTCTATTTGCAACAATCACAATCTTAAAATATAATATTGTAGTAGTACTTAAACTTTAAAATGTACCTATTAAATAGGATAACAGAACAGGGTGATGATCAGAGTGATGAAGAAGGTGAAACAGAAACTAGGGAACCACCAGCAAACCCTAATGATGAATTTAATTTTGACCAATACGATGAAGAAGACAATAGTGAGTAATAATTATTCATCTTCCCTCTAGGTCACAACAAAATAATTTCCATCCATACAAAACCACATTCTAAAATTTCACTTTTTGCCTTTAGAGGTTCAAATATCTCAATATGGACTTCAGTTTTCTCAATATGAAGTTCTAGTACACGCAGTAGTGCTCTTCAACCTCAAAGGCTATTAACCATGGCATAGTAACATTCATAGATAACACCAGAAACTTATATAAAATGTTTATTATACTTTTCAGCGACAGCAAACCCTATTGGTATTGGTACTGTGGCAACATTGCCTAACCTAGGAGACCTCAGTGAAGATGTTCAGATAAGAGTAAGTGAGATGAATCATTTTTATTTAACTTTACATACATATGAATAGTAGTAAATTAATGTTTTTTTAAATCTCATTCAGACATAACTGGAAATGCTGTTATAGGTAGTTTAAATTTTTATTTAACAACTCAAGGTCACTGCATGCACCAAAGTGTCCATAAACTACAACCAGAATGCTTAAAAAGCCACCTAAATGCTTAAAAAAATATAGACACTAGTAAAAAGTTCCAAATAACTTGATGTTCTATTTAATATTTGTCATTTTTCTAGTAAATGTATTTAAACATTCACTAATTGATTTTACACAGACAGAAGGACCGGACAGTGATGAAGAGGACGATATAATCAAACCAACAGACAACCTTCTTCTTGTAGGGCATGTGGAGAGTGATGCTAGTATATTGGAAGTACACAGTAAGTTGAACACTACTTATTTGTCATATGTAAGACACTGGCCACTGATTTATATTGCAAGTTCACTTTTCTATATTAAAATTGTAATGGCATTGAATGTGTTAATATTACAAGAGGAATTAAGTATTTATATGACCTTACTTAAGTTATATTTTGTTTTAGTTTTCAATAAAGAAGAGGGTTCATTCTATGTTCATCATGATATAATACTGCCGTGGTTTCCTCTCTGTATAGAATGGTTAAGTCATGACCCAACAGACCCACAACCAGGTACGTTTATTCTATTCCGTTTCGATTTTTCTACTCTGAGATGAGGCGAAAGGTAGGCAAAGCATCTGCAATTACAGATGTCCATTGTCGTGCTCGTTTGCCACCTTGTAATATAAAAAAGACAAGCTTATTGAGGCCTGAGTAATTATTTTTTTATATCATTATTAACTCTATTTTGTTATTTACTATTTACTTCTAGATGTGTGTAAATTAAAAAAAATTGCTATTGGTAATTAATTTTGATTAAAGAAGATTTCTTTCTTATCTGATTTTATTTTGTTTTGTAACACAGGTAACTTGTGTGCGTTGGGTGGCATGGATCCAGTCATACAAGTGTGGGACTTAGACATTGAAAACTGTCTCGAGCCAGCGTACAAATTGGGCAAAAAACCCAATAAGAAGAAAAAAATAAAACGTATAGGACACAAAGATGCTGTGCTTGATCTGTCGTGGAATAAAAATTTCACGTAAGAAATTTAGGTTAAACTAGACTTTTAACATATCATGTCAATCTGCTTAAGCAGCGCGGTCATTTAGTAATAAAATAGTTTAGTCCCTTTGAAATTATACAAATTTCTTAATTTAATGTATGGAAAATATTTATCCTGTATCCAAGTTGATATATAAGTGAGAATTCAAGTTGAAGTTAAGCATATTTTAGGTTAGTAATTCAATCTTTTTACTATGTTGTTATTGTGTACAGACATGTCCTGGCGAGTGGATCTGCTGACAACACGGTACTGCTATGGGACTTGGACCAAGGCACGCCTCATACCAAGATCAACTGCTTTTCCGATAAAGTAATTATTATTCCATTACTACCCAATTTTTATTAATGTTTACTCAAAATATTGCTTCTAGTGAGAAGAACACTTAGGAGTTGCTAATGTCTCCAATATTTTTTTTTTTTGAGAAAATCCAAGATGTGATTTCATAGAAGTATGAAGACAGTCGACAACTACACTAGCATTGAATGTGTTAAAAGTTTTGAAGCTATGTTAATCTCTTTCATATTGTTTTATGAGAAGGTAGTTGTAGTTTTTAACATGTCTGTTGTATTTCAGGTACAGTCGTTGTGTTTCCACCCGCTGGAGGCGCAGACATTGTTGGCGGGCGCGTGCGACGGACGTGCGCGTGTGCTGGACTGCCGCACACCGGACACGCACCGCGGCTGGTCCCTCGAGCCGGAGATAGAGCGCGTCGTCTGGGACAAGCATAACCCATTCTGTTTCGCTGTCAGTCACATTTTTTTATAAAATACTTGTTTTTGTATTTTAAATATTAATGGTGACTGTGAAATATAATAGTCAAGCATTTTTTTAACACAGATGAGTAACAACGTAGGTAAAGTGGCGTATGTGGACTGCAGACAGGATCTCCCTCTTTGGACTATTGATGCACACGAAAAGGAAGTAACCGGTAAAGTTATACCTTTTTAGAAATGTTTGTAGACTTTTATGTGTAATATCCATTGAATTTGTGTTTGTGTGTTTTATCAGGACTGATACTGAGCGAGCAAGTTCCCGGCCTCTTGATCACTGCGAGCACAGATGGCACTCTCAAGACTTGGGATGTTACGAGGTATTATTGTTTTTTTATGTTTTTAACGATGAAAAAAGGAATGGATTTTTTTAAATCGCTAGAATAACATATCGTCACTATCACCTACTTGAAGCTTACAGTTTTCTTCCCCATTAATTTTACGCTTTGTCTCTCTCACCACTGTGAAAACGTTAGTAAAAATGTTATCCTCCATCTTCTTATTTAGCAAATTTTAACCATTGACGTGGTATTTTGTGCCTATTTGATTTGCTTTTGGCGCTGACGGTTGCGATTTATAGCTGCTGAGAATTCAAACTAATAATAGAGATAGAATGAACTATCTATAACATAAACAGACTCATTTAATTTTGAAAGAAGCAAAAGTTGTAATTTACAAGCATTGAGCATCTTTAACATCTACGCACGAAATGTCCCGGCTCGCCCGGTGAAATACCACAACCATACAGTAGACAGGCGTCAAGTGGAAGCAATTCCGCGTGCAGTCTGATGAGTGTGCGTCCCGGAGCCCTAATTTAGTCCTCTTTCCCTTCCCACCCTCTTTTTTATATGGAAAGAATGGAGAGTGAAAGTGGACGATGAGCGGATGCATGGAAAAAGAAAATATTTTCTTTCTGTGCATACCCTCCGTCGATTAAATGTAGACAACGCATATGCAATTGCCTATGGGCAACGATCGCTTCGCTATTTCAGGTGGCCGCTCGTTCATTTGCCATCTTTTGATATAAAAAAAAAACTTTGCAGCGGCGGAGCTACTCAGGTGAGCATGCGCAGTAACAGATGTGGGCAGAGCCTGTGTGTAGCCACCTGCCCCGACGCACCGCTCTCACTGGCGCTCGGCGGAGACAACAAGCAGTGCCACATCGAGCTCGTCGACCTCACCGTTAATGAACAAGGTCAGCACTACGCCATCTAAAGCCTTAACAATACATTTTCCATACTATCTTATTGCTTGTGGACGTTTGTGTTAGGTTTACAAGAAAAGAAGATAAGTTCTAAAATACACTAGTGTATTTTAGTGTATTTTTCATCTGATTAATCACGTCAATATAATAAAAAATTAATTATATTTTGAAAACTTTAATGTTATACAAAACAAATACGTGTTTTTTGCTGAGGGTGTACTTGAGGGGGGGGGTTAATTTGCTAAAAGCGTGTTAATAGGCGACCCCTAATGTGAATGTTTGGTATCAGTTTCCCGCTCCGCCTCCAAATGGATCAGGCCCCGCCCACAGTCACGCCTCTTTAACTGAACATTACCTGTTTGTAGCAGTGTTTTAATACCAAAGATAATGACAGTGTTTTGTAAATTGTCTGTTTTGTTTCTTAGTACTGAATCGTTTCGGTCCTCGCATCCCAGCAGCCGCGACAGAAGCCATGGAGTCCTAGTTAATATTGTTATATGTATTGTTTTTAAGAATAACGAATACTTTTATGTTCTTCATTTTAAAATTACATTATGTATAAAGTTTTGTGTACAAAAGTATTTGTTCACGCGACTATTTACTGTAAGTAAATACTTTAAACAAGAAAATAATTAATAAAAGACAATGAAAATATTAAATTGTTGTTTAATTAACACACTAGTCCTTATTTGCAATGTTTAGTTGTGAAGGGGTATTGTCTATTTCTATCTCGCTTTTATCAAAGATAATTTAAGAGATGACGATACTTAATCACTTAGTGGAAATCAGCTGTTAGCAAAGAGAACTTTTTCTATGAAAAATATTGATTTAAATACGTTTTAATGACAAAAGAAATATTATTTACAATATCATAAAAATAAATATTATTAAGAAACCATGGGTTTCTGAGATCAAAATCTCTATAAACATATCGTCATTATCTTTAACATGATATTAATCGGAATTTTTGATGTCAGAAACCCACAGTTAGACCTTCACCAAAGCTTCCGTCACCATTATCATCACACAAGTCAAGTAAATGCTTTATTACCTGACTGTTACGGCACTCATAATTTAGGACTTGGAATGCTGAAAAGAAAATGTTTGCACGCATAAATAAGGTGATTAACTAAAAACTTATTTTCGATTATGACAGATTTTTCTCACAAACCTTTTAACTTATATTTCTGAAAAAATGACTAGAGGAATCATCAATTATCTAGTTGTCAAAGAAGGAAACCTTTGGGGTATATGTTTTTAAAAAAAATTAAATAAAAAACAAAATTGATAACAAATGAGATTATATATTTGAAAGCACATACAAAACATTTTTGGAGAATGTTAAAAAATAACACTAAATGCTATATAATTTTGTAGGTGTTCATTACTTTGTTCTAGACTTGAACTAAAAGCTTATAATACTGGCTGACATTCAGCATATACAAACATATATATCACATATTCTATTTATTATGACCGTATATGTATCTGCCATAAAAACTTGCAACGGCAGTGATTTTAATAAATACTTTTTAAATAAATTTATATCTCTAATTTGTGAATTTGTGCACAAAATGTGCAATAAAACAGCTAAATTCTTTATATAATATATAAAATCTTAATAATATCAATATATATTCATAAATTTTTAATATTGCTTTGAATTTCTTTGTTGGTGTTGTATTATGTACTATATCGAAATAATGTTTGAACAGATATTTACTTACACATAAAGCAATAAGCTTTAATATTAATAAATAAACAACAGTTTTGAATAGCGAGAACGATTTGTTATGTTAAAAAGCTGCCGTAACACGAGATGTAAAAAATACCATGTCATAGATTACTTAATCTATGATTCAAATGTCAAAGATCAAAGATGTTCTTATACATTACATTGTACCTTTATTACTTTCGCTTATAAAGTATTTTTCAACTTTATAAAGAAAAAAAACTTCAATCTATATTTTGTGTCATCGAAACATTAGTACATATAAAGTTATAAACAAATTGGTCTCGAATTAATGCTTTTTCGTAATCGTAGGCATATCTATGTCGGTGTCTTACAGTGTACAGTCAGCTACATAAATGTATACATATACAAACTTCAAATACTAACATGCGCTTTCGATTTCAAAGTATCCCTATATTCTTCTTACTACGATAACATTTTTTTGATGAATCCGTGAATACGTATTGTTAAAACCGAATATATAAATAAGTTTCTAAAGTTTTGTAACTCAACCCAAGCATGTAACCCAGAGAGTTAGGCACAGACCACGGACCTCCATTTATCATGGCCAAACGAATCTCCGCAATCCACTTTTTGCCATTTCGGGAGACGGAACGACACGCAAAGTTGCCGCTTTTTTCCCCGGAAACCCACACATATCTTTGAAATTTCTTTGCTATGTGCATGTTGCATTACGTTTTCCTTCACTGTAAGAATCTCGGTAAATCGAAAAACATATTGTTACATTGGAGGATTCTGACCCAGGTCCTGCAGATTACTAGTTAAGTGCTTAACCCCTGAGTCACCGACGCTCTTTTTTGTAAGTGTATACATACTGCAGCTGAGTGTACCAGACAACACAAACAAACCGGTCACCGCTATGATCAGGTAAAGAAATACATTACTGTTGTTGTGGGAACTTGGTGACGGCGTCGTTTATAGCTCTGGCCACGTACTGCACGTTGCCGGGGTTGAGGCCGCACACGTTGATGCGTCCTGTACGCAGCAGGTAGATGTGGTACTCCTCCATCAGGTACTCGCTCTGACGCTGCGTCAGACCAGTGTAGGAGAACAGACCGATCTGGTTCACGATGTGGTCCCAGTTGCCCGGAGTGCCGAGTCTGTTAAAATAAGTACAAAATCATTGTTGTGTATGTATGAGATAAATCTTTAGACCATTAGAACATCTTGCTAAATTAATCTTAATAAATGCGCAAGATGGATGTTTTTTATATCTCCAGAATGTCTATAGAGATCTCTTTGCAATTTGGCATACATATAAAACATAATCTGGAAGAAAACATAGGCGACTAATAAAGTTTTTTTATAAATTCCGCGCGGACGGAGTCGCGTGCGACGGCTATCACTATTAAAAACTCACTTGACTAATTCTGATCTTAATGCTTCTCTCATCTCGATGACTCTAGATGACATTTGCTTGATGTGGTCTCTCCTGTAAACCGAGAATTAACATAATAAAATGTATTTCTAATAATAAGACTGGACATCGTTCTACAAGAATGATGGCAGCTGGAAAATATTTGAACATGGTTATATTTTGACCAATAAGCAGGCAGACAGACAAATATGGCAGCTGCAGGATTTAATGTTGCCATTTTCATAATTTCGAAATTACATAAATATATCACTCAAGCTACATGTGGGTAAATTTGCTAATGTGGGATGTCATTTAAATAGTAATGAATTACTACGAAAACTCATGTCATAAGTTATAAAAGACTAGGAAATTTTTGCTCACTGGTAACACTCAAAACTTGTAGGCGAAGTGATAATGTAAAAAAAACTGCCATAAGATGTTTGTGGTACTACAATGTGACACTTGCCATTGATCGAAGAGATGCTTGTTGGTGAGCGCGGTGGCGACGACTCGTGCGCCGTGCGCCGGCGGGTTGGAGTACATCCCGCGCACGATCCACGTCAGCTGCGACTTGCTCGGCGCCACGTACTTCGCGTCTGACATTACTATGGCCAGATTGCCCACACGCTCGTCTGTAAACATTCATTTTACATTAAAATATAATTAACCTTGTGGAATCCCGAATGAAAATCCTACTTATCTATTTATATACTTAACATACTATAAATAGTGTGGGATATAAGTTATTTTAGCACAACTACTGCTGACACAATTAATAAATTTACCGACTCAAAGGTATTTAGTAAAATAATAATAAAACATGTCAGTACTCACTATAAAGTCCGAAGTTCTTTGCATAAGACTGAGCGCAGACGAGCTCGAAGCCTCGCTTTACGAAGTAGCGCACAGCCCAAGCGTCACGGTCCAGGTCTCCTGAGGCGAAGCCCTGGTATGCGCTGTCGAAGAACGGGAACAACTTGCGTTCCTGTAAATAACAAATAGCTCGATGCGTCTCTTTTCTTAGCTGAAATTCCTTCAAATATTATTTGTATCGCTAACCTCCATAACATCGGCGATCTTCTCCCATTGCTCATGAGTGGGGTCAATGCCGGTGGGGTTGTGAGCGCACGCGTGCAAAATGATAACAGAGTTCTCGGGCGCTCCTTTCAGGTCAGCGATTAAACCGTCGAAGTCTATGGCGCGCGTCTCCGCGTTCCAGTAGCGGTACGAGCGTGGTTGAGTGAAACCAGAGTTCATGAACACGAGGTGGTGGTTCTCTGCAAACGTTGATTTTTTAGTTCATATATATCTGTGTTCTAAGTTCTAGATGCACCATAACGACGATAGTCGTAACTTACCCCATGTCGGGTTGGAGTAGTAAAATGTGGTGTACTTCAGATGCTTGTTGAGGAACTCTGCTCCCACGCGCAGTCCTCCCGTTCCAGACAGCGTTTGAACGCCAAATGCCTAACACATATTTTTTACTCGTAAATCAGTCATAAGGGTATACAAATAAAGTTTATACAACTAAGAAGACTGGCCGTCAACACTTTTTGTATGCTACATACATTTAGATTCAGGTATTTCACATTCCTTCAACAATTTCTACAATCTCTCGAACACGTACTATAACGCTATCATCTCTTCATATAGATAACAAAAATGTTATCGGACAGATAAACTATGTATCCTACTCTTGTATATAATTTATGATCAATTCGATTGCTTATTAGTTACTACAACGCTATTTCACTGTATTATTTCATCACATTCGATCGTTACTTAACACGTTAGCTGCCAGAAGATTTTTCGAAAAACGAATTTTTTTTTTTTAATTTTGTTCAAAACCATTTCAATGGGGCCTTGCGGGTCACGCTGTATACAACAATTCGTTTAAAAAGCCACAGCGAGGTGTTGAATGGATGTATGGCTTGTCGGACACATAGTCCGACACGGCCTGATTGAAACATTAGCCTGTCGGACATATAATCCGACATGGCAGCTAACGTGTTAATATAAAGTGTATGAAGCGAACATACACAACACATCATGTTTGCGTCAAGATAATGTAAACATTTATATAGATGTATTAATCCAACGCGAACGGAACATAAACACTGCCATACCATAAACAACTGATATTGGAATTTTGCTTAAATTTTGCTAAATGCTGGGTACTGTAATTGATTGCTTATATTTATACGAAATACTTACACGACCTTCGGCGATCACAGGGTTATCTTCTCCTAGCAACATTGACACTGACGCTGACGTAAACTGCTCCAAGCCTAGAAAACAACATATCTATATATATAGCGAACGAAATATAAACTTTATAATATAGCTTATAAAGAGTTAACATTTGTTGAATATACAGGTACTAACACTTTTCATTTTTTTATATCATAAGGCGGCAAACCAGCGACAGTTGCCCATAGGAAATTGCATATGCGTTGGCTACCTTTAATCGACGGAGGAGAGGATACATATGAAGAGAATATTTTCCTTTCCCATGCATCCCCTCTTCGGGAAAATCCACTTCCAATTCCCATCCTTTCCTTATAAGAAAAAGGGTAGGAAGGGAAAGAGGACTAAAATTATGCCTAAAAGTAACCCTACATCAACCATTTAATCCTTCGATTTCGTAATAAGTTAATCGTAATTATAACCTTAACATCTTTAGCTACTATTATGTAAAAGCAAGATAAAGTATAGTTTTTGTTTCGCCAAGTTTCCCAATTAACCATAACGGCATGCAAGAAGTATACAACATTGTAAAATGTACTCTATTTCATATAGCATAGAGTCCATTATAAAAAGGTGATTTAAATTCATTATGGGCTACTAAAATTGTTCAGATAACCTATCACTTATGACAAGATAAGATGATAAAGATGTATTGTTAGCTAATACATGCACTTTAAGAGCCATGGTTTGAAATTAACTAATGTAATTTTTAGATTAGAGTCAGATAATGAAATTGGCTTCAATCTATTTCGAATAAAAGCAATTTCATTGTTGCGTAGTAAATTAAAAACTATAGATATTTGTTGATTTAATTAGTCAAGCACTTGACTTACAATCTGTAGGTCCTAGGTTCGAATCCCGCCATGTACCAATGTGTTTTTCGATATCTGATTTACATATGTACATTTATCCGACGTTCTTATCTGAGAAGAAATTCAAAGTTATGTGTGAAGTCAACCATCCCGCATTTGGCCATTGTGGTTGACTATGGCCTAGTCACCCCTAACTGAGGTTAGGCTCCGAGCTCCTCGGTGGGGATGTATAGTGAGCTGATGATGTTGAAAAAATAAATATTTCTATTATTAACTAGATATGAACATAAGCTATTACCGAGTTTCATTCTATGACAAAATGTTACATAAAATTTAACATATTCACCGTTTTTTTCTAACACCAAAATGTTTGTAGAAACATATTGTCATCCCTGTCTTTCATCTTTGACTAAATAGAGATAACGATACATTTTAAATGGGGATTTAAGGACTCAGAAACTTACAGTCAATGCTAAAATTATCACATATTAGGATGTAGTACAAAGAAATAATTAATAATGCACTTATTTATGTACAAAACTGAACCTAAGCACTGTCAAGTCAAATACTGAACTATCAGTATGGATAGTCAGCGGAACACTAAAAGCCTTAATCTGATCTTGCGGGGCGAGTTTATGCATTGAATATGTTAAACAGAAGAGAATTCATGTTTAAAATAGAACTATGTACTTAATATAGCTATACCAATATAGACAAAGTGATATTTAAAAATAACTAGTTAGCATAGTTTCTCATAAACAACTGCATAGCTGGCTACTGTCCAGCTTCATAATCTATTTACTTTTCTATTTATAACATGCATTACTTTGTCAACGGAGTTTTCTAATATAAACATTGTACACATTAAAATAAAAATCTAGCTGTATATAAAATTGTTTATAAATAAAGATAAGTTTGTATTATTTTACTGTCACTTTATTAGTTAAATAGTAATAAATTTAATGTAATAATCCATATGTTTCCTATTGTTATCTGGATGATAAATTTGACAGGAAATTATAATCTTAATAATCTTACTAATATTATAAACGCTAATGTTTAGATAGATGGATGTTTGTATAAAGGTATCTTAAGATTGATTGAATGTGTCTTGATGAAATTTAGCATATATATAGAACATAGTCTGGAAGAACACATAGGCTAGAAATTGTTTTTTTTTATTGATGGAGTTACAGGCTACCATTAGTGTTACATAAAAAAGAGGTAATGTTATCAACACCATCAATTTTATGACTTACTATTAATCTTATGTGAATACAAAGATATTTTATCTCTATATTTTATACACTGTCATTTAAAGTTAAAAGAAATAAATATTTCATGCAATAATGATTGTGCCAAATATGAAAAAGACCTAGTCACAATTAGTAGCATTTAACACGTTAAAGAATATTTATTTTTTTACCTATCAAGCTACCAAAGTCTAAAGTATAAGGCTGATAAATTCTTACCAAGTACTGGTAGATATTCATGCAGCAAAGATTCATCCTCTGCCATCTGCTTTTCTGTTCTGCGCACCACTGGCAGAACCCATGGCTTACCATTTTCATCTCTATATGCTAAATTGTATATAAAATAAGAAATCAATATGTAGAATTGATAAGCAGACTTAAATATCAATATTATTTCATGGTGCATGATCTGAACAGTGGTAGTAATTACAGGATGATCTAGCAGGTTAGAAAGTCCTCTATAAAGTATATACATTTTTTATTCAGTGTGTCCGGTACAACCTTGTTAGTATAGTTATAATAAGGTTGATAACAAACAAATCTTCTAATTGGATCAATTGACATAATTACTCTCATCCTCATAATCACATGTTGAATAATGTGGGAAGTCTTGTTCTATTTTAAAAATGTACTTTATTATAATTTAGCTATAGGTGTGACCTTCTGATGATGTTATCATTAAAAATTATGCTGTGCAGCGCAAATGTTTCGTTTCTTTAAAACTTTTTAAATCTTCAAAGTATTAAGTTTTTAAATAATTTATTAAATTAATTTTGGAAACATGACGCTACCGGCCGGTTACATAATAAATTGTTTATTCGTAATTTTAATCACTATGAATGTGACAGTATGATAATGGTAATTTAAAATAAATTTTAAATAAAAAAGTATACATTTCCAAACTTACCCCCAATTGTTAAGTTGACTTTATTTTTAAATGTGTCATCAATAAAAAGTTTATTAAGTTGGAAGACTTCGATCGGAGGTCCTTGTTCGACACCTTCAAAACGCGAACCCATATTTGTATCAAGTTATTTTACCTCAGTAATACTGCTTCAACTAAACTAAAAACTTATCAGACATGCAAACTTATTTTGTTTGAAAATTATCGCGTGACCTTCAAACGTCAACCAATGTCATTTTCATTTTGCAGTTGCGTTAAGCAGCGTTCATGTTCAAGTTTAAGGCTCATTCATTTTCACTATACATTTATGGCAGCATTACTTAATTTTACCCAATTTTACCCAATTTTACCATTATTGCCCATGCCCTCTTGACCACAAATTTTTGGATACAAATCAACACAAAATTGTTCTCATACTAATAGTTTTTTCGAAGTTTTGGTGAATAGTTTACAAGCCTTAATCTTAATTTAAAATGTATTAATATAGAAAAATACTAATTGACGAATCATATTTTAATTATTGTTCATTATTTATTTATTCGCGGACGGATCGAGGCAGCGTAGGTAGGCCTCCCGCACGATGGAGCGATGACCTGGTCAAGGTTGCGGGAGTGCACTGGATGCGGGCGGCACTTGTCCGGGCATTGTGGCAATCGATGGGGGAGGCCTACGTCCAGCAGTGGAAGAATTTAGGCGGATTATGACGATGATGATTTATTTTAATATATATTAAATTTTATTCAAATGGCGTTAATTCGTGTAATGTAAAAACTTGTTTATAGCAAAGTTTATGGCAAAGAAACAAGCTTTCGTGATAATAGTTTTTGCGTTTTACTGCTATGAAGATATGAACACAAAACGCAAACAAAATCATTATGAATCGGCAACGTTGATGAGAAGGGGTGATACACAATAAAAGATCCATTTCGTTTAGATAATGTTTATGCTTGTTGTTTGTTTATGAAGCTTAAAATCTTTTATACTGTGTATAAACTGGATTATTCAAAAGACAGACTCTTGGATCATCTGGTCTCATAATCATGTATACAGATTTGTATTCCTTATTATCTCCATTCCTTTTTTCATAGTTGTAGACTCCAACAATACCAAGAACAATACCGATTGCAGCCATACAACTTGAAGCCATAATTTCTGGAATTTCCCACCAACCTCGTCTGATCAAACCAGATAAGGTTTTGGCAAAATGGATTTGATGACCAATGGTCTTAGGCATAGGCATATTGAACTTTTATTTAATACAATTAAAAATTCAATAAATTTGATCAATCACTTCGTCAAACGTACTATGCTTGTCAACTATAATTTTATTGCTTTATCAGAATTTGATATTATGCCACGTACTGGCTGTAAAGATATAAGTTCAGTTGAAAATAATTGAAATACCGTCGTCGTTTTAAATGTTATAACTTGAATATATCAAGTAATCATCTCGTAACTCCTTTATGAAATTGTAATGTTTGTTATATTTTATTCGGGCGTGCTTTTTCTTTTCTTTTTTCGTCTTAAAAAACTACATATCTTAAAAAATTCTATTAATATCGCAAAATTTCATATAAAACTTTCGAACAACTTAATATTAAATTGTAGTTCTTAATTTTCTATTTATAATATATTATCTAAAAGACCTTAAGCCAAAAATAATAAAATTACATAAAACTAAAAGTGTCAATTTCACTAGTCTTTCACAAGCTCTTTGCTGTCAAATGTCAAATTTGTATGACAGTGTCAAGCTCAAGTCAACTGACTGTCATTTGAAATCAAAATTGCAAGTAGGAGTATCAATAAAAAGAAAAACCTAGAAAATCGTATTCGCCCGAATTATTTCGCTTGTGAAAATTTTTATATAGCTTCATAAATGGCTGCTCCGGCCACACGAAGAACAATCGGCCAACTTTTTCAACAAGGTTGGAATGAAATTCCAGAAGTCATGGCTTCCACTGGCCTTGCTATCGTTGGTATTGGCTTAGGAGTTTTGGGTGTTTATAATTACGATAAGAGGGATGGTGATAACAAAAGATACAAACAAGTTTATGTGATCATGAGGCCCGACGACCCTAGAGTAGCGAAAATACGGAAGGATTAAAATTGAACTGAACTAAAATGTGAAATTAGTTGCAATTATGTAATAAACTTGGTTATATTGTGATATGTCTTATTATTTATTTGTGGATTTTTAGTAACTTCTGTGCAACAGTAGATTCTTGTTTGTATCAATGACTACATGATTAATAATATTGTATATTTAAATGTTGTGGAAATAAATGTAGAAAACCAAAGCGATAAAAACTTTGTCATACATTTTCAGTTTCATCAAAGTCTGCTCAGTTTGGTTATTCAATGGTCACAACAATAGGAAATGTTGTGTAAAGGAAATAAAATGATGCATGTCACTTATTTACTTTTATTTTTAACAGAAAACATTCTTACATATAATGGTTAGTGCTGCAGCAAATAACCAAATATCACATAAAATGCTGCCAACACCTTTGAAGAAAAACCTTGATGATTCAGATTAATTACTTTTTAAACATTCATTGTAAAAACAATATTATAATAATGACAATGTTACAAATAATTAACTTTTCATTGTTGAAAAACCTTTGCAATGACAAGAACAGATATATGTTTTTGTATAAGTAAATCAACATGGCCATAGTTTAAATAAAAACACTACATTACAGTTTGAATATGAAGCTATTTTCATAATGAGAATTCTAAAAACAACAGCTTTTTTTTTAAAAGATTACATTTTTTCTTCTTACAAAGGTCTACATAATATTTCTAAATGTTGCTTTTATGCAATTAACTGTCACTTTGAAATAAGAGGCAATTTGTAAATGTATGTTTAATAATTTAAAAAAAACAGTTGACATTGTAGGGAAATAATACATTCAGAAAATACAGTAAAAACCTCTCTTTATTCATCTTAAATTTTTTACATGATTTACAATCTTAAGAACCAATTTATTAATACTGTTATTTATTTCTAAAATTAGGCAAAAGACTGATTATTAAAACATGGCATAGAGTTGTATAACCAGCCCTTGCAAGAGTTCAAGTAGTATAGTAGTTTGTAAAAGTGGTACACAAGATTCACAGCAAGGTATAAAACTCCCAATTTGTTTCAAAAACTTGATTATTTCTTTTTCTTCTTTTCCTTACTTGTACTTGGTTTATCTTTAGGTGCTGCTTTATCTTTATTGACTTTCTTTTTCTGTTAACAAAGAGATCATCAATTTAATTTGAATTTCTTTTTTCGTTTGGCATCATACTAATATTATAAATACATTAGTTTTGATGGATGGATGTTTGTAGAAGGTATCTTCAGAATGGCTACATGGACTTCGCTGAAATTAGGCAAAGATGTAGAACGCAGTCGGGAAGAACTCATCTACTAATTAAGTTTTTTTTAGTTCTGCGCAGACGGAGTTGAGGGGCGAGAGCTATATAAACAAGATATATAACAATTACTGTGATTTTAATTTACTTTTCATTAGTAAGTTAGATTTTTAAATAGTAACCTTGTGTAATAAGTAAGTTAGGCTTGTATTTATCATTACCTTGATCATCGCGTCATTCTCTGGGTCGCTATCCTCTTCTTTATCATCTGGGTCGATCTCGTCATCCTGTTCTAGCAGGTCGTTTGTGTCGTGTGCATCGTTATCCGTAGGCTTAGCGCGCCGCACGCCGCCAGGTGCGTACGGCAGCGCACTCGCGCGCTTGTTATATAGACGAGTCATTGATGCTTTCACCTGGGTCATTGTTAAATTATTATAGTTCAAGTATAGGTTAAGATTTGTTATAAAATATTTTAAAGGGTTATTTTTTTTAGTTTGAAATTTTTATTTTTGTAGATCATAACAGCTTTATAAAAGAGAGCTCAATATTTTTTAATCTTTTCAAGATTATTTAAAGATAAAAATTATTTAATCTCATTGACCAACAATTGTAATATGAAAACATTATATAAATAACTGGCATCCCGATATCAAATAAAAAAAAACATTTAATGTATATTTAAGCAATTAACATAAGACTTACTTTGGAATCAATTAATATCAATGGATTGCGTTGTCCTGGCCACAAAGACAGCTCGATAAGTGAATCCAAATCCTCCCTCAGGAGGTGGTAAGACTCCAATATATCTAGAGACTGCTGGATGCCGTCGACCTTGTGAGTGAGCAGCGGATTCACAACCGCATCTCGCAGATGCATAGCATAGTCCAGGAATATTGAAGATTTTGAACCGGAGGTGCTAAAAGATTATTAACAAGAGTCAATATTGATTGACGATGCTTTTTATTATACATACTTAAAGATATTAAAAGCAGCAAAGCCTTTAACTTCGTTTGCAAGGAAGTAACGCAACGGGGATAGGTTAGCTTCACAACAGTGAAAGAATTTTTCAAATCGGTTCAGTAGTTTCGGAGCCTAATTAATGCGAACTAACTAACAATCAAATCTTTCCTTTTTATAATATTAGCATAGTTTATAAGAAGAAATTAATATGTTTTATTCACTAAAACTACCTATGACGTCATGATACTACCTAATCGAATCGGTTCGTTAATTCGACACTGTTTTTTATGGTTGTTCTAACCATTGATTTTAGAGAGAAGGAAAGAGACGAAAATATAAGTATATATCAGTGTGTGCGTGTGTGTGTGAGTGTGTGTGTGCGTGCGTGCGTGTGTGCTTGCGTGTGTGCGTGTGTGTGTGAGTGTGTGTGTGCGTGTGTGTGTGTCACCTGAGCCTGGTGTGCGCGTGTATCTCCTGTCCGAGACGCTGCAGTTTGCCGGCGCGCGAGTTCTTGCCCAGCCAGCCGGGGAACTGAATCTGTCCCGCCACGTGTCCCGCCATCGCCTGCCCCGGGATCACCGAGCTGTACATTGCCTGCAACACAACACATACAATCATAACAACAATATAAAACAAAACAGGATATTTTTTGTTTTTAAAGTAATAAACACCTCTAATACCTTAATTTCAAAAATAAGTCAAGGCTACAGGAGTCCACAAGTGGACATTTAAATTACGTAGAATAAAAACGAATAATTTCAAAGGAAATCACATATAATGTGATCTGACTTATCTGCTCAAATTCTGAACATACCTGTATGGGCAGTAAGTTCCAAGCTTGACTGCCTCGTATCCTCGCATCCACTAGGTCACCGAGGCTGATGCTGTCCGCGGCCATGCTCAGACGATCCAATATCTTGTCCCTATATATTTACTGTATATTTTCAATTGCCATACATTTGTTATCAATATTTATTTAAATGCAGTCTTTAAAATATTTTTAGAATGTGGAACAATTTTTTTTTCAATTTTTGTGAGTTTTAAGTGAAAATTTTGAAATAAAAAAGCAAATAATATTACTTGGGACAATGAGGCACAACTTGTATGTAGTTCTCCTGCACAAAGAGCGGCGCGAGACTGTAATCGTAGAAAAAGAGATCCGATCTGTCGCTTATTGACATGTTCTTATGCTCAGATTCTGAAAAAACCTTTCTTACTGCTTCCCATGGACCCTAAAAAACAAAATAACTAATAACTTTGAAATTAAGAACCATTTTTATGTTTGAACTATGAACATCTAATCTATTGGTAGGATGACAGTTCTGACCACACAGAGGACACGCGTCAAGTGAAACTAGAATTTTAATCCTCTTTTACATTCCACTCTTTTCTTATAAGGATCCCAGGACGAGGATTTGACGGAGGAAGAGACGCATAGGAAGGAAAAATATTCTCTTTTTGTCCCCTTTACTATCGATTTAAAGTAGGCAACGCATCAATTACGCATGTCTTTGGGTAACGGTAGCTTCGCTTTTTTGGCGAATTTAGTTCGCTGTTCGTTTATGCTAAAAATCTTACCAATTTAACATCTTTCTTGATCCTCTTAGCATCATTCTTTAGTCTCTCAGGATCGGCAAGGTTGGGGTCTGCAGCCCATATGGAAAGCAGGTGCAGCGTTTGCCGCACATCCTGACCCGCGGCTACGATCAGCTGTGACAGAACTTCGCCCGGAATCCTGATGTGCTCTTTGAAACATGTAGACATCATCGCCGACTGCAAACAGTTAACACATTCCAAGTACGAGGAATCTTCGTGGCTCAGGGATTAAGCACTTGACTTATAAGGCTCTGGGTTCGAATCCCGCTATTTACTAATATGTTTTTGATTTACTTATGTACATTTATCAGACATTTTTACAGTGAAGGAAAACATGCAATCTGCACATATCTGAGGAGAAATTCAACTATATATGTAAAGTCAACCTACACTGGGCCAACGCGGTTGACTTAGGGTAAGCTTTGAGGTCTTTATTTTTGGATGTACAGTGAGCTGATAATATGACTGCCAGGTCAGATATTCTTGTCAGTTAGAAGTAACAATGACATATAGAAACTTTGACAGTTTAACCGTGGGTTTCTAAGACCAAAATCTCTGTATAAAACATATCTTCTTTGACAAAACAGAGATAACAATATGTTTTAAACGGGAATCTAGTCTCAGAAACCCATGGTACGAATGTCAATCAAAGAATAGTCGCCGCTAGGCCATCTATTTCAAACTTTTTGTTTTTCTCTCCATTGATTCTTCAGTTTAATCTATATGATACCTTAATTTGTTCGACAGTAGGTCTGTTGAAGCGCAGATCATAGCAGTAGTTGACAAGTGACCGCATCTTCTGACTATTTCTATCATTGCACATGCAGATGATGGGAACTGATGTTGACTTTATTAAGCCAATTAATTCTTGTAGACCACCTGTATAGAAAAATTACTTCTTATTAATCTTACTAATATTATAAATGCGAATGTCTGGATGGATGTTTGTTACTACGTATTACCAGAACGGCTGCATGGATCTCGATAAAATTTTGCATAGATATAGAACATTGTCTGGAAGAACACATAGACTTATAATTCAGTTTTTTTTATATTTTGACAACTAGTATCAAATATGATTGAAAACTAACGTCGTCAGTTTATAAAATAACAAGACATATAAAGTGATGGAAAATTAAAAGCCTGTAAAAAATTCTTGATTTTTTTATTTTTTACTTCAGATTTTTTTCCCTAAATCTATGAAATTTTGAATTAGAGTTATTTTAAATAAAAATTATTTTCAAGTTATTTACCTCTGTCTTCATTACCAGCCATTCCGTCAACCTCATCCATAACTAAAACATGTTTCTTTGAAATGGCTTGTTTACTTGTATCACCTGTAAGCATATGTACATCATCTATATTATAAAGGGAAAAGATTTGATTGTTTGTTCGTAATAAGCTCCGAAACTAATGAACTGATTCGAAAAATTCTTTAACAGTTGGGAAGTTATACTATCCCCGGATAACATAGACCATATTTATTAATAGAATTTACATATGTTTAAAATTTGTTAGGTTGTTTGTTTATATAACTTTTTAACACCTCATTTTGTGCAGTGATAACTATATGTTATTGCACAGGCATTTAAAGATATATTTAACACGATAGCTGCCATGTCGGATTATATGTCCGACAAGCTAATGTTTCAATCAGGCTGTGTCGGACAAGCCATACTTCCATTCATATGTAAATAATAAGTATATAAGCAATGTAAATATTACTATATTTTGGACAAAATTAAAAAAAAAGTCGTTTTTCGAAAAATCATTCCGGCAGCTAACCTATTAAAGACTGCATAGACGGCATAAGCCAATGTATTTCAGAATTAAAACTTTGGGAGTTAAATTATACCATGACTAGGAATATAAGAAAGTCGACATAAGGAGGAGGAGGAAAACTAAGGATGTTTTTGGGTACATTAGTAAGTTATTTGACAAGGCAATTAAAGCACACTTTAGCTAGTTTTTTTATATTCTTGTTTAGCCTATACATTAAGAAATAAAATAATTTACCTCTCGCATATCCTGATAATGAAGTTGTAGTTAATAGTTCACCGATTTGTTCCTTTATTAATGTTTTATTCCTTGTATCTGAAGCGTTGAATTCCACCACATCAAAGCCCATTTCCTTACATACTAGAGACACAGTTGTTGTTTTACCTATAAACATAATAAAAATAATATTTACATATTTTACATCAATTATATTATATGTTTATTTTTTACTAGCTTTTATCCAAGAATTCTTCCACGCGGAATTAAAAAAATAGTACCTAGGGTTAAATGTGTTCTTTCAGACTATGTTTTATTTATGTCATATTTCAGCGAGATCTGTTTAATCTATAGAAACGAACAACCCTTCATCCATTCATCTAAACTTTCGCATATATAATATTCATCATCATCAGCTCACTGTACGTCCTCATCGAGGGGATCGGAGCCTACCCTAAGTTAAGGGTGATTAGGCCATAGTCAACCACGCTACCCAAATGTGGGTTGGTTGACTTCACACTTTGAATTTCTTCTCAGATATGTGCAGGTTGCATCACGATGTTTTCCTTCACCGTAAGAACGTCGGATAAATGTACATATGTAAACCGGAAATGGAAAAACACATTGGTACATGGCGGGATTCGAACCCAGGACCTGCAGATTGCAAGTCAAGTGCTTAATCCTTGAGCCACCGACACTCACATATAACATTAGTAATATTAAATTATACACGAAGAAAAACAAAATGTACATATCTTTTTTCAATCAAATATTTTTTTCTATATACAAACTGCAAATTTCACAGTGAAACTCGTAAATTCTAAAACATATTCAGTTGAAAGTTTAAAGTAATACTTACACAAAATTATGACTTACCAACACCAGGAGGTCCTGAAAGTAAGGCTGCTTTATAGAACCCTCCATCATCGTTCTTAGCCCACGGATTGGGCTTAGGAAGTTTAGCTTTTCTATTGGCGTACCATTTTGTCAACCAATTTGTCAATCTGTGTTATAACAAATTACATAAGAAATCTTACCGTTGATTTCTGAGACCAACATCTCTGTATAAAACATATCGACTCTCATTATCTTTGACAAAACAGAGAAATTAATATCTTTAAATACGAATAGTCAGAAACCCACGGATAGTCTTTTTGCACTATACCTAGATTAAAAAAATGTTTAAGTTTGATTTAAGCAAAATTTCGTTATGAAAACTTACTTTTTAACATTACTGTTTGGTCCATGCTGACCTATTATTTGTTTTACGTTCACCGGTTTGTACTTGTCGACCCACAACATGGAATTAACTGTTTGCGCACCCGATTTGAAGACATCTAAAAACATATGCTTTATAGTGAACTAGTAGTTGCCCCCGACTTCGTCGGTACAGAATTACAAAAATTGGATTATAACATGCCCGCGTGCGTCAGCTGCCTTCCCGTAAAAGTCCCGTCAAAATCAGTCCCGCTGTTCCGGAGATTATCCGGAACAAACACGGACTTGCGGACAGACATACAGACGGACAAACATACAAATTCGTGGAATCAATGGGACAAATTATGTACGCAAAATTTCAATATACCAGTATTACTTGTTTCTGGATTTTGTATTGTTCTTTCCTTCGCAGTTTCAATTTTATCCGATGTCCCTTCAGATTTACTTTTATGCATACTAAAACTTATATCCATTTTTTCTGACTTAATTTCAGTTTTAATATCACTTTTAGATTTAATTTTTATTTCTTTAACATCTGATTTAGTATTAATTTCTTTTTTATCTGTTGGTGATTTAGATTGCGCTTTTTTGGGTTTCTTTGCCGATTTAGGTTCTTCCTTTATTGTTGTTTTATTTTTGTTAGATAAATCTATAACCATTTGTAAGAATTCATCTTCGTTGATTATTTTTATGCCCAGTTCTTCGGCTTTAGCCATTTTTGCTGGGCCTGGGTCCTCGCCTGCAAGGACATGAGTTACCTGAAATTTTATTTGAATTAGTTTAATTACTTGAATATTCGAATTGACAATTTTTTCTGTTGAAATTATTATTATTACTTTTTATTTTGTAAAACAGAAAATTGCGATATAAGAAATTAAATCGTAGTAATATTATAAATGCGAAAGTTTAGATGGATGGATGTTTGTTTGAAGGTATCTCCAGAACGACTGCATGGGTATGTCATGAAAATTGGCTATACATATAGAATATAGTTTGAAAGAACACATCTACTAATTAAGTTTTTTTTTAATTATGCGCGGACAGAGTCGCGGGCGATAGCTAATTTTAAATATAAACAGATATATACACCTTTTTCGTAACAGCACTTTTAACACATCCACCAAAACTATTTATTGCTTTAGTAATATCTTCCTTTTCAAATGAATCCAATACTCCAGTTAGAATGAAGGCACAATCTTTTAAACAATCTGGTGTACCCTGAAAATAAATAATTCAACTAATATCAATGCTATGCACAAATGAGAGCAATCTTCCATTATTTTATCATATAATTTTTACTTAAAACCCATAAAAAATAATAGCCGTTACAAAATGGTATTTGATTTACATCTTTATCAAAAATTAACCTTGGGTTTCTGATGACAACATCACTTTATAACAAGGAATGACAATATGTTTTATACAGAGATTTTTATCTCAGAAATCAACAATAAATGATCTTGTTTAATGTAAACAGTAGCAGAAATACTAGCAAGCCAATGTTAAAATTTCCAATACCTTTGGAATTTCTTTTGCACCTAAATGTTTAGGTCCAGATCTGTTTAAATAATTTTTGTAGAGTGCCGCTGACATGATTTTCCTTTCATGTCTTTCTTCATCTGTTAGCACTAAAACATATTCAGACATTACAGATAAAACAATTTTTACTGCACAAATACATAATAAAGATTTAAAAAAAAAATACCAGATTCATTAAGACTTTTATCCATTTTCCGTTTCTTGCCTTTACGAACTTCTTCAGTTTGCGTGTTTTCAATGAATTCACTAAAATCTGCCTTTTGTTCAATACCATTTATTTTAGCATCATCATTATGTGTATCATCATGATTTACTTGCTTAGATTTATCTGTTGGACTTTTTTCATCATTACTATGTCGATCTTTTTCGACATTTCTCTTTGTTTCCTTTGACTTTTCTTTTGGAGTTCTTTCTTGTTTGACTGACGTTTCTTCTCTTTTTATAGGACTTCTTTCTGGTTTTGTTACATTACCTTTAACTTTTTTATTTGTTGTTTCATTCGTTTCTATTTTATCTTTTTCTTTGTCACCTATTGATTTATTTGTACCTTCCGCTTCTTCTATTTGATCTAGTTCTAATAAACTCATTTCGAATTCATCATCTGAATGAATACCAGTTTCGGTTTTTTTATTTTTCTTAACTAATAAAGGTTCACTCCTTTTTATGGATGTATCACCAAAAAGGTCAACAGATTTAACCTCTTTCAATGTGTTATGATTAGACTTCTTTTGTTTTCTTTTATTCAAATCTTCTTCAGTTCCTTTCTTTTGAATTTTCTTTTTTTGAATATCTTCATCAGAATCATCTGATATTGCCCTTTTTCTTCGTGACTTCTTCTCCTATAAATACACAGTTATATAAATATAAAGTTATGCCTGTATAGTAGGATAGTAGCTCTGCACTGTCATAGACTGTTATGCTCACTGGAATCAGTTATAGTTTACATTATGCCAGTGCTGGTGTGTGTTACTGTCTTATTGTACTGGCATAATGTAAACCAGGCATTACATACCACATATAATTAGTTTATATCTACATTAAATCTTATATTTACTACTGACATAGGTACAAGTTAATTGGAAACATCAGTACCTTCTTTTTGATCTCCATTTGAGGTGATTCCGGGATAACATCACTGTCATCATCTTTCACTGATGTCTTTGGTTTGAAAAATGAACGAATATCCTGAAAATGTTTGAACTTTTGTTTTGATGATGTTTTTGTTACAGTAAAAGCCATTTTTATTAAGAAATGAATAATATAAATTCAATAAACTTTGCAATATCTAATAAAACATTTTCTATGATAAATTGTTGATAAAATATAAGTACAAAAGAGAACTCAACTATCATTTTAATAAAGTATTGTACACAGTCAGTAAACTAAGATATAAAGAGATAACAAACTGTGTTTTTAATTATTTGTATTAAGAATATAACTAAATTTTCATTACATCTTTTTGTCAAATGGCACACACAATCATGTTTATAAATAGGGCTTAAACAAAAGCATAAAATTCAGGAATCCTCCTTAGCTTAAATATGATACCAAAGCTAGTTACAGCACTATGAAAAGATAGATTTATCTTTATTCTATTATCCAGAATTAACATGTATAATAATATTATAAACACTAAAGATTCGATTGTCTGCATTGAATAGACTCTTAAGCTATTGAATCAATTTAAAAAAATCTTTCAATGTTGGAAGGCTATACTATCCTAAGTTGCTATAAGCCTTATTGATTACATGATATTTAAAATGAAGACAAAGTCGCTTGCCACTGGTAGTATTTGGTAAAAATTCCAATTGATTGACATTACTTTTTATAAGAAATTCAGCACAAATCTTACTTCCACAATGCCACCACCACCCTAACATTTTGATAAATGTCTTATCTACTATGTTATCAGTTTCTGATGATATATAAAGTACAATGATAAATTGCAAATGCATTAAATCGTAAGGTAAATGCACTTATCAGTCATGTACAACTCCATGTATCAAGCACATTGTAATAATTTGCCATTTTTCTTTAATGCAGTAGGTGTATGCGAATAGCACAGTGAAATTAATGGATTAAAAAGAAATGACACTTCTAGAGGATAAGTATTAGTAAAACATTTATTAATTCATGTATGAACTTTTATTAGTATGGTACCTTTAAACTCAGATCATTCATTTTTCAAATTTAAAAAAGTTTTAAATGGTAGTGCAAGAATTAATTTGCAACTTCATGATATGACTATAAATTCTAAGCAAACTTAATATATATCTACTAATGAAAAAAAGGATGTATAAGCTATGCGTAATATAGTGTTTGTAAATTGACCTAACCATACCAAGTTTTTTTTTTAATTTTGCATCTCATCTCTGCATTTTACCTGCTACAGTGTATCAGAGATTCCTGTTGTTCTCTTGTATGTTTTAATATCAGGGATAAATAGCAGGATAATATGGATAACATTTATTCTTGTAAGACGCAATGAGACGCAATTCATTTTTTATTTCACATTTATTCTATAGTAGTAGGATGAACTATTTTATTTTATTGCAAAGAAAGAAAACAAGATAAAAAATTAAGGAAACGTACCCTAGACATTCTCTTTATTTAATTTAGGATGTACAAAACAATGAAATAAAAGTCTGGTTTTATATGTTTTTACTCCAATTACCGCTGTCGGATTATTAAATTTTTAACCATTATAACATTAACACTTTAATCAAACACAACAATAATAACTTCCTATTGCTTTTAATGACCAATTCAAAATTTATAAAATCTGGTTTTAAAAAAATTTTAACCTCTATATAACGCTTTTACTTTAAATTCCATAAATCAAAATGACAACAAAAACTGACAAAAACTTTTGAACTTTGACATTGACTTCGTAATAGACACAGACCAGCTATATTTGCTACGGGAATATTTTACAGACTATACATGTCGGTTGACCTTGACCCCATAAAAGAACGCACTTGAAAAAAGGGTAAAAAGTTATCAACTGACCTGACTACACGACGATCAGCTACTTGCACCAGAGCTTTGCGACCTTTTGGAAATAATATAGCGAATGTTTTTACTTTTGACTGATTTTTTTGACATTCTTCATTCTTATGACATACGTTTGTCACCTCATATTTTCGTATTATCTAATTTATTACATATTTCTGTATGATTTACATGTTATTATTATTTATATTTACTCAGGTGGCATGTGCCCCTATGTCACATGTTGGATCGGCAATTTTCTATAACAAATTAAATAAAAACGAATGTTGGAGCGAGGATGATTTGGCCACATTACGAGCGAGAAGAATTTTTGAATTGGCCATGCCACCCAGTGTAAATCCAGAAAAAATGAACGGTAGGTATTTAAAAGAGATGCAAAAGTACTTTCGTCAAGCTCTTCGTAATGTTGGTAAAGAAACAAACTCGCACTGTGCCATTCTTTTGAAGGCAGCTCTTGCCGACACTATCGGAGCTCATTTGACCAAAGAAATATTGCCAACTGCTAGATTTTCATATTACGCTGGTTACGTGCCTTATAGAGATGTCAGAGAGTTACATAAATTCCTGGAACAAATCAAGTTACTTTTGAATACTCAAGGTTTGGGTTGGGCTCGACCGGATCGTATTCCGCAGTGGTCCAATCTAACCGTCGTTAAAGTTTTTGTTAGACACGGAAAACTGTTAAATCCATGTTCGGGTTTGGTCATGAAGAGAGACGTAAACTCGTGCATTCACATCCCCGTGCCCAAGCTGGACGACAAGGATGAACCATCAGCGATCGCACTGCCTTTTAAATCAGGAGGTATGGTCAGTTTGTCTTCACCGCGTTCAGAAAATATTTTGCTCAAGTATTACACTACAGCGACAAGATGTATTTTACACCATTCACCTATTACATGTCGACACGTCGACTTCTTGAATTTTAATAATGATATGTGGCATTGGATGCAAAATGACGTCGCACCGCATCTTGCTGATGAAAAACTTTACTCAGCTTTTGGGGGAGTGTTACGAATAGCCGCCGCTGTGCAAAGCTACGGCAAAGGCTTATCTCGCCGCAACCTTTATGAAAACGAGGAGCGAGTGGTCTCCAGATGGCATCCCTGGAAGGGGCTAAGTGAGACGTACGTTTACATGGACCCAGATTGGACTCCAAAACTGTACGTCATTTTAGTAGTATTAGCCGCCGCCGTTATTTGCCTGTCACAAATTTGTTACACTTTTTTACTTGGCAAAAGTAACGGATGTCATTGTACAGACCGCCAGCAAAAATATCAAAATATAATGGCTTTCACAAAAGACGAACTCGTTAATCCCGCAATTTTACCATCGCAACACAGCTCGTTATTCTACAGCCAGCACGCGCGTCTAAGGCGCTTGCCGGCAAAAACAAAAATATCTTCTCGTAATTCAATAAGGACAGAAAAGGTTTACGATCTCCACGACAATACGGAGACGATGGCGGTTATCATGAGCGATAACGAAGATACTAGCGAAGAAGATTCTCTTCCGGTCATCAACCAGGAAGGAAGCGGCGAAAATGTTGGAGCGATCCGATCGAAAAGCCCGCCTAAAATAGAAACTTCAATATCTGAAGTGAAAATAGTGAAACGTACTAGACCGAAACGAGGGCAAATGTATTCTACGAGCACAAACTCTCATTCAGAGTTAACTTATTGTCGCGAGCATCAGGATACGGGCTCGCCGTGGTCGGGCAGTTCAACGTCGGAACAGTCCATTACTTCGGACAGTTCCAAATCTCATGGGCGCAAATCGAGGAACTCGCGTGACTTGGCGTGGGCGCGTCGAGTAGCTTCCAAAGCGTCTCAGGCAAAGTCGACAACATCCGGCACAGAACTTGACGTCAATTCATTCACTACGCCGCCATCGAAACATTGACCGTTATTTTTAAATCTTAATTATTAGAAAGTCTTGATAGGAATATTAACTTTGTGAATAGAGTTTTAGCTGCAAGTATTACAATTTAAGATATATGTTGTTTAAGATGCATTTAATTTTTATGGGATAAATACTATATTTTAATTGTTTACGTCTATTTTATTATTTTTTAATTTAAGTTTATTTTTTTTAAATAGCTAGAAGATATAATCAATGGCGAATAATTTTTGGTATTGGCCAGTTCATAATGGTAATGATGGCAATTCCAGAATGAATATTGCTGCTTTTATCACAAGCCTTACCATGAAAAATAAATCAAACTCTATCTGGGATAAAACTAAGATAAGATAACGCATCCCAAATCCCAATCGGCCAGTGGTTTAAATATGAATAAAAATAGGTTTAACTGTGGTAAAGCCCGCTTTAACATCTTCGCACGAATTGGCCCGGCCCGGTGAAATACTACGACTACACAGAAGACAGGCGTGAAGTTCCGCGTGCAGTCTGATGAGTGTACGTCCGAAGGTCTAATTTAGTCCTCTTTCCCTTCCCACCCTTTTTCTTATAAGGAAAGGATGGGAAGTGGAAGTGGACTTTCCGGATAAGAGGATGCATGGGAAGGGAAAATATTTTCTTTCTGTGCATCCTCTCCTCTGTCAATTAAAGGTAGGCAACGCATATGCACTTGCGTATGTCTATGGGCAAGGTTCACTTCGCTATTTCAGGTGGCCGCTTGCTACCTTATGATATAAAAAAAAGCTTTATATAAAACATGTCATTTATTACGACTCATTAATACAAACGTTCATAAAACTTGAATAATACTAAACGATAAACATTTTAAAATCTACATTAACCAACCCACTATAATAAGGCTTTAACATAAATACAATCAAATAAATATAAATATCACAATTTAATAAAATTTGTACCTCACATATGACATTTTCAAGCTTACATTATACATATACAAAATATTAATGGAATATTTATATTAATATCATAAAATTTGAAATCACAGTAAAAATACGGTTAACATATATTAGTTAATACATATAATGTCGCTTAAAAACAATTTTAATCTAAATTACAAAGACAACTGTTTACCAAAAACGTGTTATTCTATTGCTTTTTATATAAAACATATTGTTGTCTTTATCTTTTCAAAGAGTGTGAGGGAGATGACACTGTTTTAATGCAACCATTTAGTAAAGATGATATTCGATGAGGGAAAGAGAAAAAGCGATGTTTGACATTTGATAGAAAGAGAGATAAATATAGACTAGGACAAATAGAGCTTGAAAGGAAGAAGATTAAACAAAGATTAGTTCTCTAGACAAATTGTTTCTATTATAGTTTTACTAAATTATTATTATTTTACGATCTTCTCCTTTATTATTATATATTATTAACTGTGATGCAAATTAAAAAAAAAAACCTCTTAAGTGTAGTACGAAAATATGAGATAGTGCAAAATTAAAGCCCGTGCATAATTTCTTTAGGTAACAAATGTGAGTCCATAGTAATACATGTGCAAAAGTGAAACGAGACAATGAATGCAAACGAACCATAATAAATTTGTCAAAGATACTTGCATAAAAAACATATTGTTATCTCAATTTTCTAAAACAGAGTAACAGAGATGGCAATATTTTTCAGTGTTTCGGCATTATACTTTTTCCTTTCCTTTTTAGTAAGAAGTTACTTAGGTACGCGTCCATTGTCCCGCGCCTGACGCACTGTACCCACGGCTGGAACAGATTTCTTGTTGATAAATCAGTCTTTCTATGCGTTTGCCGCTGATAATTGATACTTTGCTATGTAAATATACAAAGCAAACTAAAATCGTCAGTCGTGCATCAGATGACGAGCAATGTACGCGTGCCTTTAGGGAATTATCAGCATTCTATTTTACGTAAGTTAACATTCTCTGTCACTTTCGCTTAATATATATTATTTAACTTATTTATATGTTGTATTATTTTTCTAATACTAATTTAAATGCATTAACTGCAATATAACTTAGTATATGATTTATATATCACTGATTCTATCTACAATATGGTTATTTAGGTAGTCCGCCAGAATTTGTTTCAGAACTCGGCAAATCGCTCAGAAATCTTCTATTGAAATAACTGAGAGGGGCTACACAAAATGCACTCGCTCCGAAGCGATTCAAAAATGTATGGAACTCTCAATAAGTCACGTGAATGTCACGCGTCAGTTCCATACATTTTTGCAATTCGTTATGGGATCGCTTCTGAGTTAAAGGACTTTGTCTAGCCCCGCTGATAACTTGAGGTAGTCGAATAGTTCAGGGGCACAGACCAAATGGCGGACAAACCCAATTAAGGCATCTTGGTTTATTAAAGTCCAATCCTATTTAGGTTTTATTTTAATTTTGTAAGACAGTATGTAAACAAGTCAAAATAATATTTTAACGAGAGAAAGAATATGAAAGAAAACGATTTCAGCTAATTGTTAATTTTCTATCACATGTTACGTTAACTAATAATGTAATACAGGAGTTGGAATTTGGACCTAACTGCGTGTATCATAGGGGTCATTTCCGTATGTTCTTGTACTGTCGGTCGCGCCATTTGCGGTGCATATGTTTGACGATGTAAAGCGGCAGACATGACACCAGAGTGATGGTTGTCACCTTCCACCAGAAGTCCCAGTGCCGGATGAAGTCCGCGTCTGAAACACGTTAAAAATCAGGATATCTGAATCTGTGAGAGGCGCTGCTATCGCGGTTTGCATTGTAATCGCGGCGGTCAGAGTGTTATATAAAACCTTCTTAGATATAGAAAATGTCATAAAAGAAAAAATCACATGACAGCTACAGTACAAAGAAGATTGTGACATTTTTTGATGTTGACAGGGGCGTTAGTGAGCTGTCAATTTAGTTTGACTTATGCCCACCGGTTCAGAGAGCCGTGTCGTTACAAAATAAACATCACATTTTACTCAATACGCTGTTTGACATGAAATGGACATTATTTTTTTTCGCAATTTCCAAGCGATATCTATGATTGGAGTTCGCTCCGCATTCGTGCCTCAGTGTGCTAAGGTGAGACAACAATAACAAAAAGTTGATCCGTCAAAAGAAACTCTATTAGTCATTTGTCATATATATTTCAGATTATATGATTTAGATTATAATAGCATGTTATAAGAATATTTTCATACCAAAGTATGTGGTGAATATTAGCAGCGTAGCAGTATACATGGCGAGGCTGATGAGCTCCGCGAGCGCCATGAGGCGGTGCCAGGTGGCGACTGTGAGGGCGACCATGATCAGCTCGGTCAGGATGAGGGCGGTATAGCTGATCTCCACGATGTGGATCAGCTGCTCCTCGAACAGTACCAGCGCGCCATACATTATCACACCGCCTGTAGAACAAACAAGTTGGAGTCATGTTTACGGACGCATACGCTAGAAGTGACGTGTGTGCGTACGCGTTATATTGTATACTTTAACGTAGGAGAAGCCAACGTGAATATCAGAAAGTAGTTAAAGTATACAAAAGAAGAGAAATTTAGTAAAAATAAAATGGCATTTAATTCATTGGAAAAACGCTAAATTAAAAAAAAATGGTCATATTGTAAAATCAATTTAATTCTACTAACTAGCTGGCTTTATTACTAGTCTAAAATGATTTTGCTTATTATTTTCTGCTTTTTATTTCAATGAAAGAGTCTTACCTTGATAAATAGATATTCCAGTCCATATGTAGAAAGTTTTATATGAGAGATGTCTTCCTTTGGTGAGCTGTCGATACAGCTGGGGATATCTAAGCGCGGTCGAACTTGGTATGTCTTTGTCTAGTACCTGTCAAAAAAAAAAAATTAAAATCTTGAATGTAATATAACCTAGAAATAAAATACCTATACAATAAAATATTGTAATCTGTGTTTTTTTTTTTAATTAATAATCTATGGTTTGTCTATGATCACTGACGTCTCTGACATTGACGTCAACATGCATGTGTTTAATTTCCTTTTTACAATTTTAATCTAAATAACATAGAAATGACACCAACACCTTTGTTCTTTCAAAGACAAAAACATATCGTATGAGATAATAAATGTAACTGACTAGAGAGAATACTGGTAGCATGGTGAAGACAGTTCCGTATCCAACCATGAGGAAACCAGGGTAGAGAGACACGGAAGAGAAGTAGAACACAACTGAGAACACCGCCTGAGAACAAATGAAAATAACATCACACTTCACTAAAGTTATAAATGCGAAAGTTTGGATGGATGTTGTTGTTACTACATTTCTCCAGAACAGCTCAACAAATCTTTATGAAATTTGGTATAGGTATATAATTTTGTATTTTATATAATATTGGTAGAACATAATATAAATTAGTTAGAATCCCTTGGCGCGAATGACGTGCTTTCGTTACAAAGTCCACTGTCAGAATGAATAGTGTGGGGACATAAACGTCGACATTTTAGTAATGCCAGTGTTGACTCAATACACTGTTTTTTTCCGGATTTCCTTAGTAAACACTAGTTACAAATATGTCTCGAGGTATATTATAATAAATGGTGAGTTGTAGTTGTAGGTAAGTGTACCTGCATAGTGGAGACGATGAGTCCGCGATGAACAATGAAGAGCGAGAGAGCTGCGGAGCGCATGGCGGCGCGGCGGCCGTGCACCAGCAGCAGGCGCGCCAGTGCTGACAGACCGCGCACGCTCACGTCTCCCGCCAGCGACGCGGCGCGACCCTCCAGACCCTCGATACCCACACCTGACACACATCCTTACATTACTCAACACAAACTGAACACACCCAAGTACATGAAACGCTTAAATTAAATATTTCAAGAAAAATCTATTTTCATCTAATACGCCAGCAAAGCAAGTGCAGTTCCGATGATATTGTTAATGTACATGGACGTATGTGATCTTCTCGTTTGACCCCTTCTCTCATACCAAAAAAAAACCAACCCAATTACTAAACTTGGCTCATAGCTAGCTTTAAAAGCTAAAAACAAGTTCTAATTGGCATACTCATTTTCATGACAGTATTTACAACATAATTGACAATAATCATACACAACGTCTAACAATACAAAAAAAAAGAAGATACCTAAAATATAAAGATGTTAAATAAATTGCAGATGTATCGCGAAGAATTTTGTATAGAAATAATGATATGAAGACGTTTATTTACCTATATCAGCCTCCTGTATCATAGCGACGTCGTTGCCGCCATCCCCGACAGCTGCGACGACATGTCCGCGCGCACGCAGCAACCTCGCCACGCGCGCCTTCTGTGTGGGCGAGCAGCGCGCCACCACCACCCCGCTGCAGCGCTGCAGCACCGCCACGAACTCCTCCTCGTACGACTGCAGGCACACCTACCATTCCGACACATTAACAACCGCTTTATGAAATACAAAAATCTGCACAGCAAACGTCACAGAAGGGATAAAAGCAACTCAGCAATCATAAAGAACACGCAAAACGCTTTATAACTAAATAAAACAAAATTTTTGATGCAACAAACTGCTTTTTTTTGAACATGTGGTCCTTCGAGCCGGATTTCTAAAAAAACTAAAAAAAGAGCCGAAAATTGGAAGGTTTTTTTTAAGATCACTTGTATGGTAATGTCCGTATTGTTACCTCTAGCGTCTCCCCCTCTATGATGAGATCGGTGTCATCTTCGGCGTTCTGCAGGGAGAGGAGCAGGTGATGCGCGTCGCGGCGCGTGGTGCACTCGGGCGCGCTCAGCCAGCGCCGGCCGCCGCCCAGCTGCAGCGAGCGCGCGATGCACAGCGCAGTCTCCAGCTTGTCACCCGTCAACATCCAGATCTAAACACACGGTATCATACTAAACTAATCGGGTTTTTGATAACTATCTATAAGGCAATCCAGTATACATCAAAACTAGCTGTGATCTCATTTGGCGAATAATAAACGGTTGACCACACTCAATCTTTTTCAATAGGCTACACTGTACTAAAAGCTAGGTAAAATTGAGTTCGCTAACTCATAATAAAGCTTTAGATCTATCTATCTAGAAGACATGAAATAATTGTAAAAAATCCTCAGTCATAAGTAGACAACCAAAGGTTTTTTTTTCAATATAATTTAGTCTATTACATTTAAGAAAAAATAATCATTATTTGGTGATTATCTTTTTTTATGTTGTACCCAAGTGACCTTGATATTGGCAGTGCGCAGCATAGCGAGCGTGCGGGGTACGTCGTCAGCGAGGCGGTCCTCCACGCCGGTGAGTCCGAGCAGCACCAGGCCGCGCTGCAGCCGGCCCAGCGCCGCCGCCGTGCGCTCGCTGCGGTTCATCACGCTCAGCCGCGCCTCGTTGTACTCGCTCTAACAAATCATTCAAAATTTACACTCTCAAGGACACTAGCACCCCTCTGTCAACCTCAAAAAGACACAAGATCCTTTTTGTATTGTAACTATCAAGTCATTTTTTTCCGCTTATATCACTTTTTATATTTAAGTATGTTTTATGTATTACATTGAGACATAGCTAACCGCGATAGCAGCGCCCCTCACCGGTTCAGATAAAAATATCAACAAGAAGATTTGATTGTATTACAATATTCAAACTTTACGGTGGCTCGTGGTTATGTGCGAGGTCTGATTGTCAGTTGGACCAATTGTTATTGGAACAATGTTCGTAAATGTGTTCCGTTGCATTCGCTAATACTTAAATGCTACGTTCGTACTTCAAATTCAAGATATTCGTTCTTGGTCAATGTTTTCTTGGCGACGACGAGCGTGCGCAGACCTTCAGCTGCCAGCGCGCTACACTCCGCGCTCAGCCAGCCCGCGCCCGCAGCGCCCACAGCACGGGACAGCGCCACGTCCGCGCCCTTCACGTAGTACGTTATCTCCCCAGAGTTCTCTTCCTGTTGAGTTTACTTACAGTCCTTACTAACTTACTCAAAGTCATTACGTGGTAACTTTAGGAGTCCCCAAGTGTTAATTTCTCGTAATAAAACAACTAGGATAAAATGACTGGTGATTACTCAAGGATCTGGAGGATGTAAACTATAAAAAAAAGCGTGGCATTTACAGTTATTTTAAGTATTTTAGAAGTTCAAGGTCATAATTGTTATTACACTCCAGTTGGTAAACAGTATTTGTGTCAAACAGATGTTCTTATAAAAGTCCAAATCAAGTTTATGAACGTAGTATGGTCCATACCTGTACAATGATGCCCATCATCTTACTCTCGCTGGTGAAGGGGAACACCTGCAGTATATTGAACTGCATGATCTCGTTGGCCGCGCGCAGCTTCAGCGAGATGTTGTGCAGGTCTCTTCTATATAGCGATACTCCCATCTGGTAACATAAATACTATTAAAGATTGCACTATAAATTGCTTCCTGACGCTGCAGCTAAGTTCGTGGTATAAGTTTTGTGTACGTTAATCAATGTAGAATCGATTTAATTCACAGAAAATACAAGCAGAGACGTGTATCTATAAGGTTCTGTATCATATTACAGTCGTTCATAGTATAGTTCTTTTCAAATATCTTGCCGGCTCAAGGTCATTTGCGCGATGAGCTGTGTGCATTCTGTTGAGAGCCGCAAAGATATTTGAAAATTACTTTATCCTGTTATTGTGTTGTGGTAGCATATGTAAAGTGTTACCATGTCGGTCCACTTGACGAGCGCGACCTCGTCGGGGCTGGCGGCCTGGTAGTCGCACAGCTGCTGCTGCGGCACCGCGCCCCCGCAACTCTCAGACATCATCGAGCTGCCCATGTCTGACAACATATACAGCTTATTAAAGCGCTTATAGTGTTCTAGTTACAAGTACGGACGTCAATCACGTGATCGTGGCGTCGAAGCACAAATTTTGCGTTATTTAGTCTATCTTTACTTCTGTCAAGGTTGAAAGCTTCTATCTCGTTTAGTTTTAACTTATTTTTTTAGTGAAGTGGCAGTTTTTTTTAATTATGAGATAATAAACGAGCCATTGGCCATCTGAATTCGCCAAAATAGTTAAGTGACCGCTTCCCGACGGAGGACGGGGCACATTGTAACAGAATGTTTCCCCCTTCTCTTTAAGAAAAGTGTGGGAAAGGAAAGAAGATTAAAATGAATCCTGACCTGATTGTGCTTCATCAGCTCTCTGGTCCTCTATATCATAGACGGGTGTGACATTGTGGCAGAGTGCAATGGCGAGCACCACCTCCCATATCTGTCGCGGTGTGGGCGCGAGTGCGGCGCCCTGACCACTGGGCGAGGTCGGCAGGGAGGGCGCGTCGTTCGTTATGTACTGAGTCAGGAATGCTTCCACCTGTAGAGAAGAATAAAGGGCTATGCAGAATTGTGACTTGTTTATGTTTGGGGAAACTATAAATGTGATGTCTCATTTATGCCATATCAAAATATTTTAAACAAAGAGACGTGACTTCCAATGAGACTTAAGTTTTCGTTTTTATTCTACAGAACGTATATTAACTTTGTAAAAAAATAGAAAAAAAAATGACATTGTATGATGATTATATTTAAAAAGTAGCAAAATTTTAATATTTACATAGCTTTTAATCTTAAAAATTGAAATATATTTATCATTTAAAAAAATATATAAGCCTTGATTTAGAAAAGAGACTTGAATACAACATTGTTTTTGCTCATATTATTTCATACTAAAATTATTGAAAAACGCATAAAAAAGTGAAAACATTACCTCATGAAAATTATTCCTATGAAATGATGCATTTTGTAGATGAAGCTTCTGGAAGACCATTTCATTCTTAGTCAACGTCCCAGTTTTGTCAGCGAGCAAATATTGTATACGACCAAGCTCCTCCGGTATAGTTGTAGACCGCATCACTGTACCCTCAATCTGTTTGTCTCTTTGTATTGTCCATGAATAAAACGCTTTGCCCATGTCTAGATTCACTCTTAAACTGTTGACAACAGATTAAATATGATAAATACAGAAAAGAGCAATTTATATCATTGCTATGTTTAAACAATTATTCCATTGAAATGAAATACATCTAAAATTCTTTAAATTAGACATGTGTACTTCATTTAAAAATTCCAGAAAACTCCAAAACTAAAAACATTATAAATTCTATGTCTTCTCTTGTAATAGCTCACCTGATTGGAATGATGTAAGAAAATAGTAGCACAAATCTAAAGAAGAATCCAAACCAGGGTCCATCAAAGCCTTTAAGTGTGATCAACAGGAAGGAGATGAGTATTGTGGCAACAAACAGTACTTTAGTGAGGTCGTTCACCTGCAGGTCTAGACGACCCACTTTTGACCGAGGTACTGCATTGTTCATTACACTGCGTGTCTCTATGCCTGGTTAGAATGTAAGAGATTGAGAAAACATCATTAAGACTTATTGTATAACATTAAATGCATGTTTTTCATGTAAAGTCATGTCATTAGATGTATTCATTTTCTGATATCTTGGTGCTTTTTTACTTCTCGCAAGTTGCTGTGCAGAACACAATGTTAGGTGTATTGGTGCGCAGCTGACTGCGGGGTGAGGGCACATGACCATAAGCCAGCAAGATATTTGAAAAGACTAATATAAATAAAACTTTAAAAATATAATATGCAAGTGTTTTTTAAACATTTGATATGAAAATGATAAATCTATAACATAATTTGAATACCAAAATATTTATGAATTAAAAATTCTATATCTACCTGTATATATCACTAAGCCGGTAGCCTGTCCTGATGCCACAACACATCCTCTCCAAAGCGTATTTTCAATATCCAAAGAATCACTTTCTTCTTCATCCAACCTAGTACATGTGCCGATAAAAGAATGGATATCCTTCTCTGGCTTCTCTACAAAGATCTGTGCATTTATATCTAGTAGGTGTGCATCAGTTGGTAGTTTTTGAGTTGAAGGCAGTGGTATTCTAAAAAATACCGAAACATACATTTTGTAATGATGGGACAATCGCCCAATACAGATAATAATAATTACAATTCAAAGGAAAATAATAAACTATTGTGAATCATAATGTAAGATAAAGCGTTCAACTTTTATGTTAACATTTATTGTTGTCTTTGTATTCGTAATTAACTTATCTATTGCAGTCACAACTGAAACTTTTATATGTACAGTCCTGTTGACTGGTATAATATAATAGCTGCATAAATATAAATTTACTTTAATTACAAAGTTAGTTAACCCCTTTATTTACAAAAATATATATCCATGTATTCATCATTACCACATATTCATAGTCAGTTTAAAACCGAAGGTGTATAAAAGTTTTTTAAAATGTTGTAAATGAATACATATTTATGCAGCTGACTGTACTTAGTTGCAATAAGGCAATTGTTTGTATGTCGTTTAGCACCACCAGAGACCACAATACCTTGCTTACTAGAGATGACAAACAATGTATAATTTCTGTGTATAACCCTTACCGCAATTTCCAATCAATCTCTCCATCTAATTGGTCCGTTCGTATGAACACTGTGCCCATTGTCTCATTAGTTCTTAGTAATATCATATCCGCTGGCACTCTCTGACCTTTGTGCAGCATTACAATGTCACCCACTCTTAGAGCTGATGCGGGAACATATTCCGTGTAAAATGGACGGTAGCCATCAATTGGAGTGTCTAGAACAACACGCTCATAGTGTTGTCTGTTTACTTCTTTATCTCTTCTGCAAGTGTGAAATGGGATGTATATCATACTAACTCTTGCAGGTGAAAAAAATAACTAGCTAGTGTTCTTTCAACAATATGAAACAGTAAGAAATTTGTATGTTTCCAAATATTATGTATTGTGTTAAAAACTATGTTCTGGTTGTAAAGTTAGTGTTATGTATTTTATTTGTGTTATTTTTAATATTACCTGTATCTTCTAAAGTCATCAATTGCTTCTCTGAACAATGTAACAGCAAGTACAAAGCACAATGGACCCCAGTATGTATACAAGTATCCTATTCTTATGCTCGGTATGAACTGGCTCAAGGCCATCACAAGAAAATACAAGTTTAAGAAGAAGCGAAACTGTTCAAATAATACTAGAGGCAGGAATGTAATAATGCTATATTTCTGTAAAACAATATATTTCTGTTAGAGCATTTTTAGTTATAGCTTGTCTACAGTTTAATAAAAAAAGTACTTTACTTGTAAGATCAAGTGATTTTAGTTGTTGGGATAATGCTAAAACAATAAATAAAATTGAAATCTTACCTGATTACAAACATGGTTTGCTGGATAATCATCTTCAGGTAATTGTCCTAAATAAATTACTCTAGAACTAAATTCCTTCTTACGAAATCTCGTGAAACTAAATCTGAAATTAATAAAAAATAACAGGTTTAGTAAAAAAATAATAATCCAAAAACGAAGAAAATTATTAATTGTACCTTGACCAGATAGATTTCTTTTTGGGTCGTGTCAAAAGTGGAGTAGTTTCCATATTTGTTAATTAAATGAACATACTTTATATCTCACACATAAATTTTTGTTCTATCAAAGCATTTAACGTTACCCTAATTAGTTAAGAGAGACAAAATCAGATAAATAAACATAATACTGCAACACAAACACAATGACACAATGAGCTCTGTTGACATTTGTTTGACAGTTTTACAGCGTTTGATGACGTTAACGTTTCGTTTAACCAAGTTTGAAAAACAATCATTCCTTTTAAATGGCTCCTTGGGTAAATAATTAAGTAGATTAAAAATTTACATATTTTAGTTAGTAGTTTAACGTTTAAATTAAATTCTGTGTTTGAATGTTGATAGCTTTATAGTATACAATTATGTTTGTTCAATTTCTTAATTAAACTTTGTGACACAATGATTTTTTTTTTTCAAAACATCCTTATTCAGGCAACATTGATAAAGTAAATAAATATGGCGCGCGTGCGGTTAGGGTGTGTGAACGAAAAATGACAAATAATGTTTAAAAATTAATAAAATAAAGTGAAAAATGTGTGTATTTGTTTTTTAGGTTAGTGTCAACGGGAGTGTACCATAAAAGTGGTAATTGTTCATAGTGTATGGTGTATTACATGAAAAAGATCAATGACTGAACTTGGTGGTTGACAGGTCGGTAAAACTGGAGGTCGGGGCTGAGTTGCGTCCCTCGTTTTTACGCTTAAAGGTAAGATAACATTTCAAATATTTATGACGAAAATTTCAGGCCTTATAAACAATGTATTTATTAATTATTCAGGGATTTGTTGAGCACCAAAGTTGTAATTTAATTTGCACAGGATTATGATGCGTCGAGGGTGTTGTTGTCTCTGTCAGGGTGGCCGGGCACACCTCCGTTGACCTATTTTCTGGTTATTGCATTGGAGCTCCTATTTATGTCTAAGGGTGCGAATTGGGGCGCCGGTCCTGCATCATATGCAGTAAAGATTTAATTTAATAGTACTAAACTGCAGTATAGTATAAGTTTTTCTGTTTGAAAAAAGTGTTTATATATTAAATTCAGTGATTTTGTGAATACAACTTAATAAAGAGGTAGATCAAATTATTTATATTATAATATTATTAGGTGATTATTGTTAATGTTATCTCTTGTTTGGTCATTAAATTCTATTTATGATTTACTACTGAATAATATAGACATCCAATTGTGAAATAGGCTTAAAGTGTTAATTTAACTAAATTATTAAATTGGTAATTATAAGTAATTTAATAAAGCCAAAAATTTTAAGTAAATTATTACAATTTTCTAGGTAATTATAAGTTTGAACATTATTTAAACCAACTTTATAATACCATAGAGAGATAAGAAATAATATTTTTATACTATTATACATTTATCACAATCAGCATAACTATAAAAGAGAGTTTTGTTTGTTCTTATAACATAAAACATATGAAGAATTAATTCAATTTTTTTTGTTTTATTCAGTAGAAGTAAATATTTGGTTTCTATAACTGTGCTTTAAAATTTTTACATAAGATTTACTAGGTGTATTTTTTTTATTCACAAATAATTACTAAAATATGACCAGTGGTTTAGTAATGCATAGACTACAAACATACAATTGTTTTTAAGTGTCATATAGCAATAAAAATGTGTTATAAGTAATAACTTCATGAGTTATATTCATGTAATTTTTTTAAATTTTTCATTGTCTACAGGTTGACAAATTAAGTCAAGAAAAGTTGTGGATATTGAACATAGGCTGTATGATGGCAGTTAGTTTTGGATCATGTGTGTTATTGCATCAGAGTGATAATAAAGCAATATGATGGAGTCTGAGCTTCCCCCGGGTAGTTGTAATTCAACAGGACATCTGTCCACAATAGGCTACCATACATTACCGGGTAAGTTTAATTTTATACCATGAAATATTTCATATGAAAATTAACTCTACTAATTGTTGCCTATTGATCTATATAGGACCATAATTTATAATCTAAGATATATATTTATTAATAATAGCCTTATGTGTTTCTTTTCCACATTGTCTTTAGTCAAATTTCATGTTTCTCAGTTTGTGCAATATCTTTAAAAATAGTTGTTCATGATATGATTGTAAATGGGTTTAGTAGTTTGATATTTTTACACATTTATTAAAGGAGTGGAGAAGATATAAAAGGTTGGATAATATATTTTGTTTTACTTAAAATTACAAGTTGTATAGTTTTATGTTCATGCCATAGTGTAAAAATGTTCTAGCACTAGGGTTGAGAACACATATACATGTGTATACAGTATGAGGTGGGGAGTGAAACAAAAGGGACACATCTATTGTAGAGTTTTGTATACAAACTTTTGACACCATGAGCATTGTGTAAGAGAGTTGTATTAAAGTGGGATTGAAAATTTCTCATTTACTTTTAATAGCAAACTATAAGCATTTTTATTGGAGGGGGGGATTATTAAATGAGCAATTTTAGTTATTATTTCAACAGTCAGAAATGGTAATAGACAAGATGCTCTGTATAAACATTTTACCACATAAATAACTAACCTTTATTTTACTGTATTACTTGAATTTATCCAAATATATCAATAAGTATGTGTAGCCCATTTAGAATAATAAATTTTCTTAGTTTAACACTGTAAATGCATATGTGATGAAATTTCTTTTTAAAGATAATGTATAGGCCAAAAACCAACTCGAAATAAAAAAAAACGTATTTTATTAGGTCTACTCCATGCCACAGTACTCCAATAATAGGCTTACTTGTGTCCATACTTTATGTATGGGAAACTGTACCAAAAAACTTTTACAGTTCTTGTCATACCAGCTCAATTAAATCTCATTTACATTTTAATGATTCGGTTCTTTGTATGCTCAGAAAGAGTTCCCGGTGTTTGTGACAGCGCACCCGTCGTTTTACCGCTGGAGTGCTTTTACGTAGAGTAATGCTTGCTCTAGATGCGGTGATACGATCTCAACGTTAATGTTGTGTTTTAACATTGAATACTTAAGGGGTATTAAAGCCTTATTAAATAAAAGCTTAAGCTTTTCTACATAAAATGTTTATTTAATCAAAAATGACATAATAAATTCCTTTGGTTATTAAAGATTATAGATAAATGGAGTTTAAGTAGTGTAAAAATGCATGTGTGATGCCAGGTCGTATGCACCATTCGGCGAGCACGCCGGCGGGAGTGGACGGCGCGGGTGCGGGGGGCACGGGCTCGCGCACGCCGCCCGCCACGCCGCGCAAGGGCGGCAAGATGCTCGCCGTGCGCGTGCACATGCTCGATGACACCGTCTCCATGTTCCAGATACAGGTAAGTTATCATATTACTTATTAGACGAATTTTCTACTTATAAGCTGTTAAACATTCCCCGAAATGTTTAGTTGTCTAAAAGGCCTTTTAAATTCCTTTTAGCGTTCTCTTTAATCCAAATAAAAAATATTGGCGTCTCGTCACACGACAGGGGCTGTCGTCTGTGAATGCTTCGCAATGTCATTGATGTTTGAAGCGAGGAAGGAAATCATGTAGAAAATGAGCCGCGGAGCGCACTTTTTTTTTATAAAAATATATTCGAGGTCGTTTCATTTATATAGATAAAATTCTCGATAGTCCTATTTAATCATTTTGACCAATTTGAGAGTTCATTTCCTGGAGAAGACTATTTACTCCCTATTTCTAGTCTTCAAGCTCTTCTCTCCAAGCTACTAGTAAAATGACTAAAGTGACCAGTCTTATTATCTTTACGAAGCTTGAATTCCACAGTTTTCAAGTTTTATTTGCATCTGGAACCTTTTCGCGATTTTTGATTACTTCCGTTGAACGTTTGCGTTTGCAATAAATGTTATATTTCCGCTCTATGCTTGTTGTTTTTATATTATTGTTATTGCGGCAGTGTTATAGCAGATATTACGTTTTAAAAAAAACATGAAAGTTCCTTTCAGTGATATAAAATAAAATATTAAAAAAAAAAACCGAATAATTCACAAAAATATGTTATTAAAAGGAGTCCCTTTAGGCAAGGTCCCCTTTCAGTTGTTCATGTAACAATTTGTAGTAAGAAATCACACCTCTATAAAAAATTTGTTTTTTGACGGCATGAGTTGGCAATTAATGGAATGTTATATTTAAGAAATTATCTTTTTCGTTTAACAAAAATACATATTTAATATAACAAAATAAACTTTATCTATAATACTTTAGTGATTTGCTCGCAGAAATTATTCATCGAACTATATCCAATAATCTGAGAACCAAATGCTGGAAGTCTAATTAAAATTTCATTCCATTTCATTGCTATTCAACGTATCTTGGATTTCGCTCTAAAAGTTCCCGCCTTAATTGTTCCACCTGTAATTTTTTAAACTTTTATATTGAAAGGTTTTAACATCTATGGGCTTATTTACAAGCTTTCACATTGATTAAGCTTTATGAAAATGTAAGATCATTTTTTCAACGGTTATTCTTAGAAATAATGTGTGATATGTCAAATATTTAAATACTTTACTACGCTAAATTTTGTTTATGATTTTCATTTACATGTAAACGAGAATATTTGCACGTTTGAATAAGAACGTAGAGCTAAGTATTGGAATATTTCTACTTAGATACAAATAAGGTCGAGGTAAGGTTAGATCGCGGTACGCGATGAGGAAAAACTTTGCATAATGATTGAAAACAACACTTTTAAGAGTACAAAAGTGCGTAGATAATGGATATATCCTTTTAGAAATGGCTATACACAAAACTTAAGGGACGAAATGATGAAATATCCATATTTTTATGGTCTCAAATGTAGTATACTCAAAAAACTGACCTTACAAACATTGATTGATAAAGAACTATGGAAATAATTTGCCTGTAACGGAATTGCAGCGATTTGTCCAACAAATTTGCTAAATATTCTACTTAATCAAATCTAGTGGAAGAGCATTGTTAATGAATCTTCCATGTTCAATAATGATAGAAATAATTTAGGTGTAATTAATAACATTAAAAAAAACTTATGTACTATTAATTACCTTATAAAATTCAATTACCTAAGCCATAAATTGGCGCACAGAAGGTGCAAAATGTATCCAATTAATGTTGTCTAGGCAAGCGGCAATAGGGGTGTTGTGTAGCTCAAAGGTCGATTTGTGAAATTTCTTAATGCAAATTGCCTCCATTAGGTAATTATTCAGG